GTGTGTCGGCACCAACATGCCGGTGCAAGTTTCTGCACCATAGCATTTGTTCTTGTTCAGTGTTGTAAGTAAGTCGTCAGTGTTGGCGTAGTTGTTGTGTGGTTCAGTGGTTTTTGTTTTGTTATCTTGGGTGCTGCGACTGTGGACACTTCTGCCTGTGAAGCATCCTCTCCAGCTGTAACCAGGTGATGCGCACATTGATTTCATCTGCGTCTCTGTGGTACTCACAGCTTCATCAGCGGTGGCTGTCAGCTCGGGAACTGTTGACATTGCAGGGGTTCCCGGTACTGCGGACTTTCTCCTACGACAAAGTCTGCTGTAGTTTCGCGGGCAGGAGCAGACGGGTGGGTGATGGTCCTGGTGATGCTTCGGACGGGTTGGGCCAATCGCTTCCAGACTGGCCAAGCAGATCACAGATTTGCAGAATGGCCGGAAACACTATGCACTGCAATGTGATCGGTGTGATCATGATGTGCATTTGGACACAAGTATCGATGGATGCTGAGATCTTGACAGCTGTGCGAGAACTGCGTATGTGCAGTAGTCCCAAGTCCTCTGCGGTCAGTGCGCGCGTTGTTCGGGCCTTGAGGAAGAAGTAGAGCACATCATTAGTCAGTCTTCAATTTCACAGTTTCACTGGTCGGAGTCGTAGGTTTTCTTCTGTGGCAGCCGCCCGGTCCTTGACCCTGAATGCAACATTCGGGCGGGAACTCGTGTTGGCAGTGTTGGAATCTGGTGGCATAGCCGTCGTGCTGTCTGTGAATCCGGAGCACGATTTTTGTTGTGCCAGCCGTTCAGGAAGCCGCATCATGCACCGATGAGTGTTGAAATACAGGGCCGGGTGCGGTTTCGTGTTGTGATGTGCCTGGTGTTGTTCTGCTGTATGCATGCTTCACAACATGCCTTGAGTGGCAACACCTGGAATCATGTGATGTTATGAACACTTGTTCAAGCTCAAGACAGCTGCTCGAACTTTCTCGGTTTGTTGCGCACGCCTTCCTGACTGTCCCACGGTCCTAACCGCGTGCAAAGGCATCCGCGATGGCGATGCAGGGTTCAAACTCCGAAGCAAATGCACACACAGGAACCATCAATGTGAACCTCGCCAATCTCTACAGCAAGGGCGCTACGTTGGTGGACATCTTCGGACCACACGTGCAACCAGGCAGAGAACTGCTGGACGAAATCACTCGTATCTACAAGGCTGTGGCAGGGTGTTGCGTTGATTGCATTCAATGACTCGATGTATCTTGATGGGTTAGTATGTTCGACTCTGTAACGTAATCAATATGACGCCAGGTGCCTTCTGTGAAGAACCTGGCGTGGTTCATTGGTGACGGTGAACAGAAGTCCATCCTACGCCATCCACTCAACTCCAGACGTCAGGATCAAGTCTTGCAGGTTTACAAGAAGTCAGTGCAATCGCGCGGAATCATCAAGGGCGTGCGAGGGGAGGCGTGGGTCAGGGCACCGAACCCAGAGAACAATGAGACCGCATATCTTGCACTCACCTTCGGGACGTTGTGTCCTGCCTGTGTGCATCAGTATTGATTGTTCTGCAGTGTGTTTCCCGGTTCCGGCTGTTTGTTTGATTGCTTGGTTGCTGCATATTGTTATATTGTTGCTGTCTTTCATGTATTCATTGCTGTCATGTCTTCTGCATGTCAGGACGGAAGCATTTTATGCTGCGTGGGCTGATGCAGACAGAGACAGTTTCCCAAACCTGAAGCTCACACATCGTGCTGGCTTGGACGTGATAGTGTATGACCACCGGACACCTGATGCAGTGTTGGAGTTCTTGTGACTGGGCTGTTGAGGCTTTTGTGTTTGCATTGTGTGCATGTGCTGCATGTGTGTAGATGTAGTTTTGGTTTCACAGTTCACTGATCGTGCCCGTAACCTGTTTCACAAATCTGCCCGTCTCACACCTATGGCCTATGGCTATGGCAGAACAACAATACAAGTCTCGATCTTCAGTCATATTACGTATAAACTCTGATAGCTTAATGCACATGGGTTCACAACATCATTGTCTCACAGATGTATTGTCTCACGTCTCACCGTCTCACAACTAAGATGCCATCAGCCTGGGCCATCAGCTAAGTCCACCCATAAGCATATGCCCTAGGCCATAAGCCAGATCAACGCCACCTCCCCACGCGCATGCCGTGCCAAGGGTGACGTATCACAATCAGTTCCATAAAGGATCAACTACGTCGTTTATAGAAATGCTGTCCAAGATCCCCGACGCCACTCTGGTTGCAAAATTGGTGGTGTGTGCATGGACCTGGGTTCTGTCGTAGTGATGAAGTGATGTCGTTAAACATCGATAGCTGTTCTGAGGTCGAGAAAGCATGGTCGAATCATCGCGTTGCGACTGGTATCACAGCACGCAGCCAAGAATACGAGATTCGATACAGAGAGTTCATCCAGAGCAACTACCCGGACGTGTGGTCGACATTCAAACATTTCGAAGCTACGCGAAACCTTTACAACATGTTGTCAAGGTATCATGTTCTAGCGGAGCTGAAGGAGCTGGCCGAGAAGCATTGCAACTATCTACATGCAGAGCTAGCACATGACCAGGTGATCTTTTGCCTCAAGGAACTCATCGCTGCATGCACGGCGTTCTTCGACTCTATGTCATTCCAGGAGCGCAAAGCAATCATCGTGGCTCTGGCTTCGTGCTGTGTCACTCGACATGTGTCATAATACGGATCCGGTACGCAGGTCAGTCTGGTCAGTCTGTAGCTCTCGCAGTTTCACACCTGCCGTTTCACAGTGTCGTAGAGTCGTACAGTCGTAGAGCTGTAGTTGTGGGCTGTTTCACTGTTTCACTGTTATACAACTGCTGTTTCACTGTGTGAAGTCGTAGAGTCATAGCTGCAGACTGCAGACGTCGTAGCAAGTAGCAGTGGCAGTAGTAGTAGCAGTTGTTGTTGTTGTGGTTGTTGTGGTTGTTGTTGTTGTTGCTGTGGTTGTTGTTGTTGTTGTTGTTATTATTATTTGTTGTTGTTATTTGTTGTTGTTATTGTTGTTGGTGTTGTTGTTGTTGTTACTTGTTGTTGTTACTTGTTGTTGTTACTTGTTGTTGTTACTTGTACTTGTTGTTGTTGTTGTTATTGTTGTTGTTGTTGTTGTTGTTGTTGTTGTTGTTGTTGTTGTTGTTGTTGTTGTTGTTGTTGTTGTTGTTGTTGTTGTTGTTGTTGTTGTTGTTGTTGTTGTTGTTGTTGTTGTTGTTACTTGTTGTTGTTACTTGTTGTTGTTACTTGTACTTGTTGTTGTTGTTGTTGTTGTTGTTGTTGTTGTTGGTGTTGTTGTTCGTAACTCCTGTCACGCCTGTGTTGCCACACACCGAGATGCCGCTGGAGCAGCCGGGGATGAAGTGGCTGTTCAAGAAGGGTGCTTCGTGCGCTGGTGAGGTGGCTTTGCTTATGACTCCATTGACAGGGAAGGTGTTTCAGCTGCAGGAGAAGATCAATGCTCAGAAGCAGGCGAAGAAAAACACCAAAGATGCAATCACAGTGCTGACGGAAGCAACGGGAGATGCACAGGCAAAGAAAGCTGCGGGCAAAGCGAAAGCTAAGGGTAAAGCAAAGGCGAAATCATCCGCCAAGACCCAGGGAATCGAGGACGGCAGCAAGCTTGACAGTGCTATCGTTGTCGACTCAGTGCAGGGTGGCAAGCTCGTGCGGGACAAATACTTCGTGGATTGCTTGGTGATGGCAATCAGGTCGCCATGCATCCGCCGGGGCATATTCTTTGCATGTGAGCGAGAGCTTGTGTTGGATGGGAAAAAACACAAGAAATGGTCTACGTTGAGACCTCAACTGCAGCTCTACGCAATGAATGAGTACCACAAGGCAGGGCAACGATTGTTTCTTCCTTTTGCATTTGTTTGCGCAGCCACAGTCACAGTCTCGCACGCACACAAAAACGCACACATACACACACACACACCCACACACAGGTTGCGGCGGCATACTCCGACAAGCTTATCTGTGCGGCCGGTTTGGAGCAAGGGTTTGTATCGTCCTCCGACACGCAGCAGCAGGTGTCCGAAGCTCTCTCAAGTGCTAGTGCTGGGTCGCATGCACACCAACACCATGCCATGTCGAGTTCGGCAGCCACCACTACAACAACGGCAACAGTTCATGTTTATTATTTTGCCTCCTAGGAAACCCCATGCATTTTATCTTGATTTACTTTATCGTATTTCATGCACTCATGAGTTTCACATCGTGATTGCGCTATACTCCGCAGGCGTCTTTGAGGATTCAAAACATTTTCATGGTAGCGGAGCTTGGGAAAGCCCAAGCTTCGAGACACGTCTCGGGGCTCTCTTGCACATTGCGTTGCGAAGTGCGTTCGGGGAGCTCAGGCTTCGGAAAGTTTGTCCTGGACCTTTGGGGATTTCTGTTTCCGTTAGGATCTAGGTAGGATCGCAATCCCGGCGCAGACCGGACGAGCCATAGCGTGCTCAGACAGAGCAAGGCCACGGCGTCTCTTGCTGCAGTGGAGGAAGTGAAAGAGAGATTGCACAGCCTTTACGTTGAGCAGCTTTGTGAAAGGCCCCGTCCCGAGGGCAGATCCGGTTCTTCTTGGGATAAGATCTTATCGACTTATAGAGTTGCTTTTGAGCGGAGACTTGAAGAGCTGCATACAGTTGAGTGCGTTTGGAAGTTTGCGACCAAGTGTTTGAAGAAACAACATTTGAGAGAAGTTTTTGAGGCATTCGCACCTGAAGACGTTGCTGAGAATTGCATTTCGGAGGAGTTGCAACAAGCTTCGTTACATCCTGTGGAGGAAGGCCCTAACTTCGAGCGTGATCTTCTTGCGAGCAGTGCTGATTTGCAGGAGCTTTTGAGAGCTAGTGCTGATTGTGAGCTGCCAAGTTCTTCAGCTGAGCCGAAGCGTGCATTCAAGCGCCGATTGCAGCAGCAGAGTTCTGTGATTGATTTGGATTAATTTCCTTGATTTCTTGATCAGACAGAGAAGAGATGGACCATCAAGGGCAGAATGTTCAGCAGGGGCCGCAGTTGCCCCAGCAGCCCCTAGGGAGTGCAGGAGTTGAGCCGCCAGTGGCCCAGAACCCGTTCTCTCCAGGTGGGCAAGCACAGCAGCCAGCGCCACAGCTGGTGCAGATTGACATGACACAGATGCAATTGCTTATGGCACAGATGGTTGAGACGGCGCAAGCAGCGTCGCAGGCTGCTCAAGCAGCCGTTGCCCGGCCCTCGAGCAATTTGACTTCAGGATTTTCAGATGCGAATAAGATCCTTAATCGACCGTCGGAGTTTGGGTCCGGAGTGCACGACAACGACCTTGCAAATTGGTCTGAATGGAGCCACTCATTCAGAACATGGTTGGTTTTCGCAGAAAGTCAGTTCGAACAGGACTTAAAGCTTGTGGAGGATAACTTGCAGGGCCCTGTTGATCTGACTGGGGCTTCGCCTGATCGCATTGCAAGGTCTCAGAGGCTTTACGCGATCCTTGCAAGCATTCTGCGTTCGAAGCCAAAAGCGATCTTGCGTCAGGTCGTCAACAGAAACGGCCTAGAAGTCTGGCGGGTGCTCACCAATACCTTCGCACCCAAATCGAAATTCAGAGGACTCGCTCTCTTGAACGCTCTTATGACGCTCCCGAGCTTCGGGAAAGATCGCAGCCTGCGAGAACACATCCAAGGCCTCGAGAGAATAGCTGAAGAATATCAAAGGGTCACTGGACAATATCCTGGGGAAGAGGTTATGCTAGGCACACTAGTTCGGTCCCTTCCCTCTGCGATAAAACAACACGTTCAACTTCAGATGACAGACTCCAGTAGTTACCAAAGCATCAGGGACTACGTTCTGGGGTATGAAGTTACGACAACGTCTTGGACTCCAGCCAAAATGCACCAAGCTCTTGGTGTAGTGCCTTTACCCAGTGCTGTCGAGCAAGGCCCAGTCCCGATGGAGGTTGATGCACTTCAAAGAAAAGGGCCAAAAGGCAAGGGCAAGAAGGGCAAAGAGCAGAAAGGCAAAGGTGGACAGCAACCGCAGAATCCGTATGGTGACAAGGGCAAGGCCAAAGAAGGCAAGCAAAAGGGCAAGAAGGGCAAGGAGCACAAAGGCAAAGGTGGACAGCAGCCGCAGAATCCTGGTGCCAAGGGCTCTAGGGCAAATGTAGTGTGCCACAATTGCCAGCGCAAGGGTCACTATGCTAGTGAGTGCTGGCGTCCACGTGTGCAGCAAGTCCAGGCACAGGGTTCGGACACCGCGTCCACTGTTGCGCCTAGCACTGTTGGTCCTTCAGCATCGCAAGTCGCTGGCAGCGCTGCTACCACCACGAAGCGCGTTGCTAGAGTTGAGATAGACATGACTTCCAGTGCGTTTCAGGACGATGCAGAGATCAGCGGTCACTTGTGTGTTTTGACAAAGGTGTGTCCTGAGGACCCAGCTGCAGCTACTGCCCAGCCGAGTTTTGCTTCACTGTGCAAGTCTTTGGCGTCTGCATGCGTTGACCCTGTGAAGCCACATGTTCTTGTGCCAGTGCCTGAGGCTGAAATGTTTGACATGTCATATTCGGACGGTGATTGTGCCTGGACAGTGCCAGATGAGGTGCATGGAGCCACATGTGTTGGTTGGTTGAGCAGTGCACGTGATTCTGAGTATGTGAAGTGCAAGGCGCCAGCCCGCAACCGTGCAAGGCCAGGCAGGCGATCACGGCCGCCACTGCAGTGCGAGGCAGTGTTGCATCCATGTGAATCCGCTGCCGAGCACCTTGTGACCCCACCTGTGCATCCCCTTCGGAACCTCAGTGTGTGTGCAGTGTCATGGGCAGACATGAGCAACGAGATTGAGGTTGTGGTCGACTCTGGGTCGGATGCCTCATGCTTGCCGCTGTCCTGGGCACACGTCGGAAGGGCTGATGGAGCAAGCCTTGATAGTTTCAGGGATGCCCAGGGTCGCATGATTAGGGGTTCGCAAATGCGTACGGCAGTGCTTCAGATTGACGGTGTTCAATTTAAGGAGCGGTGGCTGTTGAGCAGTGTGACACAGCCGCTTTTCAGTGTCGGCAAGTTGCTCAGGCGGGGATGGGACATCATCCACAGTGACGGTGTTCCTTACTTGACAAATCCTGGGGGCACAGTGCGCGTGCCTATGCACTACCGGCACAATTCCTTGCATGCGCGAGGCTCCATCATGAGCGTGGTAGTGTGTGCCAACGACTGTTTGAACGATGACAGAGAGGACGATGCGGCCCGACACCACGAGCCTCAGGAAGCCGAGCTTGATGATGAGCAGGTGCGCGGCAACGACCAGCAGGTCGAGGTGCCCCGGAGTGCTGAAGCAGACAGCCCTGTTGCGGCTGCGGTGCGTGCGCTTAAGCTTGGCAGTGCATGGCTGAACCTGGGTAGCCAATACACCGAGATGCAGCCTGGAATCTTTGCTAGGCAAGATCAGTCGGATCGGTTTCTTGATGTGTCAGTGCCGTTGAGCCACCATGGAGTGGGCTTCCGCACGACCCTTCAGTATGATGGTGCCGAATGGAAACTGATTGAAATCAACTGCTTGATCAGCCTCTTCGATGATCTTGAGAAGGAGTTTGAGCCGAAAGGATCACGCCACATCATCACCATTGGCTCTGTTGACCCCTTGCAAGTAGAAAAGCTGTTTGATCATCAGCCTGTAGCGTGGAACGATGAGAGTTATGACGGCGAGTATGCTGATGCACCGCCCGATGAAAACATGCTTGAAGAGGATGAAAAGGCTGAGGATGTTGATGAAGGTGCCGGTGTAGGACCCGTGTCCCTCGCCGAAGTTCCTTCGCAGGGTCATGTTGTGGTCAATGGGGTTGAACTGCATCCCGGGTGTACCCTTAAGACCCTAAGGTCGGCCTGTGAGGTTCTTGGAATAGGCAAGTCCGGAGGAAAGCAGACGGTCTTTGCGAGGATCGAGCAACACTTGAAAACCCAGGAGTTGCTGCAACAACATGCTTTCCAGACTGATGGTGTGCCATTGCCGCTTGAACAAAAGTTTGTCGAAGAGCCAACTGCAGAGCAGAAGCGACGGCACGAGCTCAGTCATGTGCCGTATGCCGATTGGTGCCCACACTGTGTAAAGTTCCGCGCCAAAGCCGACAAACATGTGTCGAGCAAACCTGAGCTGCGGGACGATTCGGTGTGCAGCTTCGATTTTGCTTATACAGGACGGAGCAGCCCAGCTGAGTTTGAAGGTGCGTCAAAGGACAAGCTTGTTTGCCTTGTGATCAAGGACTCCCACACTGGAGCGATGCATGCTGTGCCAACGCCAGCCAAGGGCGGACCGGTTGCTTTCAAGTATCTTGTTGCCGAAGTTTGTCGGTTCTTGAATTACTGTGGGCATGAGTCCGTCACGATCAGGTCTGACGGTGAGCCAGCTTGCTTAGCACTTCAGCAGGGCATTAAAGCTTTTAGGACCAAGATGGGGTTACGCACCCACTTGGAACAGACCGAGCCAGGTGACCACCAGTCAAACCCGTCTGAACAGGCTATTGATAGCATCCGGCAGCTTGCAGGATGCATTCTTGACCAGTTTGAGGAGCGTGCCCAGACAACTGTAGGTGCAATGCACCCGCTGCACGGCTATGCTTGGAGACACGCGGCATGGCTTCACATGCGAATGTCGCGGCACAACGATCTCAGTGCGTTTCAAGTGATCAATGGCCGGCCGTATGCAGGGAAACTCGTTTGCTTCGGGGAAAATGTTTACGCGAGAGTCAAGAGCAGTGTCAAAGGAAAAGCACGCTGGTGCAAAATGCTTTGGCTTGGAAAACTTCCTGTATCGGACCTGCACTTTGGAGTCACCGAGGGAGGATTCATGCTGTCCTCAAGGTCCGTTAGACGGTTGCCAAAGCAATATGATTCATCCTTGTGCGCCAAGCTGCGCGACATGCCTTGGAGCCAAGCGTCTTTTCTTGCAGGCCAAGTTGGTCAAGCACGCAAGCAGAAAACGCTTGAGAGTGATGAGGGTGCCGGAACCGAGCCTCAGGTTGAGCAGCAAGCCGAAGTGCCTTCACAAGCAGGTGCGGCGGAGAATCCTTTGCCGTTTCCGGGTCATCTGTTGCCCGACGATGCAATGCTGCAAGAGTTTGTGCCACCGCTGCCCCGAGAGCCAGTGTTGCATTCACCTGAGCCGCCCACGCCTGTAGCGGCCACTCCAGGGCAGCAAGCAGAAACGCCGATGCAAGTTGAAACGGCCTCGCCACTTGTGTCGTTCGATGATGGGCCTGGGATTGCTTCTTCGTCCTCTGGGATAGCACGTCCTGCGACTGAGGAAGCAGGCGGGGAAGCTCCAGCCCGAAAGAAACTTCGTCTTGATGCTGTTCAGACAAGTGCATATGACTGTGAGATGTTCCATCATGATGAGGCTCCAGAGCTTCTTGATGAAAGTGCAGAGCAGTTTCTTGACTGTCAGGATGAGTCCATTTGGGACACCGATGATTGGGCTGATGACTCAGCCAATGCACCTGGCATCCCGAGTATTTTGATTAAGCCTTTCAGTGAAACTGAGCCAGTGTGCGATGCATCCGAGCTTGAAGCCATTGATGCTGCAGCAGATTCCTTTGAGCTTGAGCGGTTGACAAAGGCCGGTGTTCTTGAACAAAGTGAGTCCTGGCTTGAAGGGCATCGGACATTGTCTTCAAAGTACGTTCGCGCCTGGAGGCCCAAAGTGATCAATCAGGAGCGCGTTTGGTTGCGCAGAGCCAGGTTGGTTGCGCGCGAATTTGCGCACCTAGATCCGGGCAGGCAACACTTGTTTGCACCGACGACGACCCAGTGCATGCTGAGAATTGTTCCATCGCTTTTCATTCGCAACTTTGGGGACGGTTGGTCCCTACTGAGTCTTGATGTGTCTGACGCTTTCTTGCAGTGCAAGCAACAGCATGATACCTTGACAAAAGTTGATGGAAAATGGTATAAACTTTTCCGAATGCTGCCTGGGCAACGGGACGGATCTGCTACCTGGTTTCAAGATTTTATGTGTGAGATCCGCACAGCTGTTGCTGCTGAGCCATTGGCAGAGCAGCCAGTGTTGTTTCGCATCCCACATGCGGAAGGCAACCACAAGTGCCAAGGAGGTGGAATGGTGCATGTAGACGACATGCTTGCGGCAGGATTGACCGCACGCCTTCAGGAGCTTGAGAATCACTTGAAGTCAAAGTTCAAAGTGTCCAGTGAATGGATCCGCCAAGTCGGCGACGAGGTTTCCTTCTTGAAGCGGCGACTGATCCTAGTCAGCCCCAATTTGCTGGTTGTTGAGCCTGATATCAAATATCTTGAGAACTCGTGAAGATCACTGGACTAGATGGTGCCAAGGAGCGGTACAAGGCGGCCCCGTTCCCGACTGGAGGCCTGCCGACAGACCTTTCATCGGACCGCGAGCTGAACTCAGAGTCAGCATCAAAGTATCGCTCAGCACTTGGTATCCTAATGTACCTTGCTTCTGACCTGTTGGCGTGTCAATTTGGGATTCGGTTCTTGTCCACACATGCTCACAAGCCTACCGAAGGCTGCTGGAAGTTACTGAGGCATCTGACTGCCTATGTGAATTGCCATAAGTCACATGTGCTTGGTTTGGCAAAACCCCAGCTTGGGCAAGGACTGATCTGCAATCGCGTGTCTGAGCAGAAAACTTCTACCCTCGAAATGTTCTCAGACAGTGACTGGTCCGGGGATAAGAAGACGCGCAAGTCCGTATCTGCATGTTGCATTCTTTGGGACGGGCAGCTGCTCCACTCGAGTAGCCAAACACAGAAAGTGATCAGTCTTTCTTCGTGCGAGGCTGAGTACAACTCCCTGGTTGCTGGTGCGGCAACTGCCATCCTCCTTAAGAATTGCGTCATACACTTGTGCCCGGAACTGCATATTGCATTAACATGCTTGTGTGACAATGCAGCAGCTAGGTCGCTTGGGAATCGCCAAGGAGTCGGACGGACTCGCCACATCGACGGAAAGCTGTTGTGGCTTCAGCAGATGACTCAGGAAAAGATGCTGGACATTTCACCGGTTGGAACCGCGGAGAATGTTGGTGACCTTCCCACGAAGCCGCTAAAGCCGGAGAGAGTTGAGTTCATCCTTGCACGGTTGAATGTTCGTGACAAGGACTGCGGCTATGCCTTGGTTGGGAACGCCCATTTGCTTGATCACAGGACGCGACATCATGTGAGTCGCATTGTGAAGCGAGGAGCAGTCAACCCACAGCTTGTGCTTCAGATCCTTGCATTGGCGTTGCAAGCAGATTCTGTCGCCAGTGCCGATGATGAGCCCACTACGCATCGCGATGACGCCTTGAGCCAGGGGACTGGCGAGCACGGTTACGGGGAGATGTTTTGGAATTTTCTTGAACAGTTGCTGTATGCGATTTTCTTGATTGCTGATTTCCTTGCAGAGCATCCCATGCCGAGTTTTATCGTGAGCCAATGCGTTATCATTGCAGTGCTGTGTGGTATCTTCTTGTGCCGTGGAAACAGGCCAGAAAGGTTGCATGAGAAGGCAAGTGAGGCAGCTGCGTGCAGCGATGGCAGCGCGCCGCAGGTGATGCCGGGTGTGTGCGTCAATGTGACGGTCGAGGGAGCCAAAGTTTCGGTTGATAGTGTAGTCCCGAAACCTGCCGAAAGCCCTAATCCTTGCGCCTTGGCCAGCCCTAAGAGTAGTGCCAGGCCGTGCAGTGCGAGTGTGCTTGGACAGAGCAGCGGCCGAGCTGCTGATGACCATGATGCTCCCGACCCGACAGCGCGATCATGCAATGGACCTGCGGTGCAGCCAAAAGCGCCGGTGCAGCCGAAAGCACCGAACCCAGCAGTCGCATGTGCATCTGTACTTGACCAGCGTATCAGAGATGAGCTTGATCAGCAGATAGTGTGGGTGACTAAGTCGCGTGGTTATGCATACCATGGCCGCCGGAGTTGCGGCAACTTGCATAATGCCAAAGCACTTGAGCGCCTTACGCGTGGAGAGGCAGTGCGCCGAGGCTTTAAGCCATGCAAAGCTTGCTACGGTGGCTGACTTGTTATAATGCTCTTGATGCGCCAATCCTTGAGTGCGCTGCTTCGGGCAGTGCACTGATCGGTTGGATTCTTGTACAAAGGCTGCTGGCGACGACGATTGTACATAGTCTTGTGTTTGAGCAAAACATGACAGGACTTCGAAACAGCATTTTGCTGTCAATCTCGATTCACGTACGAACTACTTTGGCAGCTGTGGAGCAGCTGCGAGTCCGAAGGAGTAGGCTCACGAGCCACTCGATGCAATTAGGCATCTCAATCCTTGTGCTGATCCCTTAGGAATCATGCTTCAACGTGGCGTGGCAGCTGCGAGCTGCACTGATGCCACATGCGCCTACGCTTGGGTGAGTCAAGCTATCGTCTCGTGGGCGACGCACGCCCTCAGAGACGGTGTAACCTAGTCGTAGATGTACAGTTCTACGTAGTCGAACAACGTATCGAGCCAACGACCTTTTGGGGCAGTGCTCATGAAAAGTAGCCTGTGAGTCGAGTGCTATCTTGAACTAAGCAAGCTGTTGTTTCGTACGGGGTGAGGCAAACTAGATTATGCCGAAGACTTCAACCCGCGAGCTCAATGAAGCTTCGTAGGCGGGGTGTTTATTATTTTGCCTCCTAGGAAACCCCATGCATTTTATCTTGATTTACTTCATCGTATTTCATGCACTCATGAGTTTCACATCGTGATTGCGCTATACTCCGCAGGTGTCTTTGAGGATTCAAAACATTTTCAGTTCAGAATGCACTGGCTGCACAGTCCGTGGAACCTCTCATCAGCGATTTCCTCACGTGGCTCGACCTGGAGATGGGTGCCACACGCACCGAGAATCCTCTCGAGCAGCCACCGAGCGACAAATCCATGTTTGACAAGATCATGCATCACCTGACCTACAACAAGATTTACGGCGAATGGACCGACATGTGTTCCTGCGGCGAGAATAGGACTGCTGACGTTGTGTGTGTTGTGTGAACACCTGCACATACAAGGTACACATGTTTCACTGCTTCAGCTTCCGGGCTTTCGGTGTAGTTGTAGACTTGTTCTTGTTGCCGCTGGTGTTGTTGTGTGTGATTGTTGTTTCTTCCGGTCACTGCACATGTCGTGTGCCAGAGTCAGCACAACAGGACGAACCAGGAGAGTTGTTTGCTCCATCAAACGGTCGCGGACATTGCGGACGTGGCATTTCACGCATGCTCATCGGTACTCGCCGTCCTGCCTGCAGCAGTGGTTGCCACTGGCCAAATCCTTGGCCAACACCTAGTGGGCAACTGGGATGCCCTACCAGCAGTCCTCAAGGATCATGCTAGGAACGATTTGTTCAAAAAAATCCTAACACCTTCTGGCGTGACCTGCCTAGCACGCCTCCGGTGCTTCTATATTTTGTCCTTGTGCCATCAGACTCTGGAGGGTCGCTGTGGTGAGATCTCTGGCGACAAGCTGATGACACTGATCCAATCGCACATAGGGGTGTTTGCACAGATGGATGCCATGTGTACTCCATTCGATGTTGCCAGTCTTGCCAGTGGGTATGCCAGTGGACTGATGGAGCTTATTCGAAAAGGCAAGGTAACCATCGATGATCTTACCGAGGACGCTCCATCAGCCGTTCAACCTGTGCAGGAATCTTCGACCGCTGCTGGTCAGGCAAACACCTCAGCCGAAGGTGCAGCTTCGAGCTCCAAAGGTGACGGGGACGGGATTCGGATGGTTTCTTATCGTGCGCTGAGTGTGCTGGCAACGGATCATGCCAAGAAAGGTGCGGGCATTGCAGGCACATCAGGGATCCTGTTTGCGACCGAAGCCGTGCGGGAGTTCTGTTTGTTGTTGGCTGCGGATTTGATGATGCAATGCAGGAGTTCTTGCTGGGTCTGTCCATGACTTGTCTGTCCATGTACTTAAATTATTAAAGAATCAAGGAATTCAACAATGCAAACCGCAAACCCACACAGGAGCTACGAAGATCGCAACGGTTGCAGTGGTGCCGTGACCTTCTGTGTCAAGGAAATTGAGAAGGGTGACAAGAAAGTCAAGTCAACAGAAGTGCTGCTGCGTTTGCCAAAGACACAACAGGTCACTAACATCCTTGTAGTTGACAGGACTTGTCGCAAGGACAAGACGGTGTGCGGGCAAGACTGGATGAGGTGACCACGCCGGAGCTCAGAGATAAATTCAAGCTGTGCTTCTGGGGCGACGTTTGTCGCTCGATGGACGATAGACAGACAACTGACTGTCATCACGCACCGAACATTGGCGTCATGTAGATTACAGTGTAGATTAGAAGTCGCGGTTTCATGGCTGTCATCAGTCATCATGTCATCATCAACTATCAATCTCAGTGTCAGGCACCACTGCCCCCGTCGTGCAGAAACCGCCAAGAGTGATGACGTTAACGCCACTCGAAGTCACCGTGCAGGGTGATCCGGATCAGCCACTGAAGCATCGACACTATGCGACCATTAAACGCCGTTTGTTTGTTGCACCAACTGAGTCGAATAGTCGAATATCGATTTCGATAAAGTAGACATCAGGTATTGGCGGCAGTGGTGACGGTGATGATTGCGGAGACGACGAGTGTGAATTGGAGTTCTTTATCAGGGGCAATAACTTCGATACCTTGGAGAGTGAGACTCCTTGTGCAACCTGGATGATCCCGCCCACGGACCTAGCTCGCCCAGCGCTGATTATCGGAGAGCTCTCATGCCAAATGATCTACAAGAGCACGACAATCAAGTACTCGGTTCCAGTCCTCCGCTTTACCGACGACGGAGAGGACGCTGGTTTGACGCCAGTCCTGATCAAAGTCATGGACGGAGATGCCTTCCTCGTGCTCATGAGGGAGCATCTGCCAGGAGAAGAGTGGAAACCAAAAAAGGGCACAAAGCGAGCATACCCTGGCCAGGCGCATCTGGCGGAGGAAGATTGGCCCCTTGCCAACGAGGCCCTTCGCAAGTTAGGCCTTTTCGGTGGTATTGGCACAACAACGTCAGCCGTGAGCCGCTTGACCAAGAGCTCGCCGACAAAGAAGCCACGTGTGAACGCAAATGCAAAGCATTTGACGAAGTAGGTTGAAGTATGATTGATGTGTTGCACTTTTGCACGGTTGCACGTGAATGCATCCGAGCCTTTGATGTCTGATATCGATGATATCCCGAATAGTCGCTTTCAGTGACCTACAGTCATTGACCCACAAGCCACGCGGCGCCCAGGTGCAGGCCAGTGCAGTGTTTGAGAGGTTCACATGTCGTATCATGTCATTAACTATGTTTCTGTTTCTGTTTCACTCGCTTCAATTATACGTTCATACGTGCTACGTGCACACTGGTTTGGGCCCTGCAGCGTCTAAGTGTTTCACTGTGCAGACCTTCTCACTTGCACGATGCACGACACGCGCACCACGGAAGCTGGAAATGTTTCTGCATAGGCATACACTCAGACACTGAGGGAGTGAGAGACAGAGGCGGAGAGGCTGCATGACAGTGAGGGTTTGTACCGCTTCATCGTTTCACACTAGTTTCACACCGTTTCACTGTTTCACAATCTTCTTACAGTTTCACAGTTTCACAGCGTTGCAGCAACAGCAACAGCAACAACAACAACATCAACATGTAACATATATGTATGCATAAGATTCTGGCTCGAAATCAACTCCATCACTCCATCCTTTCCATGGCTGCTGCTCCTCACCGAGATCTGCTATCTCTCCTTCAGCACAGCGCCGTCGCAAGGGACTACATCCTGGTGCATTTATATGTCGCCTGCCCGGAGATAAACTCCAGATTGAAAGGTAGCTGCAAAGGCTTCTGGGATGTTATCGAATCGTATCTCAATGTGTATCCACATGGACTCCAATGTCTACCGCGTGAAGCAGCAACCACTACCACGGCAAACACAGCAGAGGCAGGCCACGTGGCAGCAACATGAGCTGACTGTCGAGCGAGCGACGAGGGAGAAATAAAAGAGAGAGATCGACCGAGAGCGAGATCAATCAAACGCTATCCGCCGCACATCCGAGGAGACGATATCGAGTCTTCTCCAGCGTCGTCCGCCCGAAGCTATGCGAGCTGATCCTGACGCCGAGCCTTGCGAGATGCTAAAAAAGTTGTGAGATGTGAGATGCTTGCACTGCTTGCACATGAGACAGTGAGACATGTGAGACGGTGAGACATAAGGTGAGGCGGTGAGGCACATGACACAGAGAGACAGGTGAGACGGTGAGACGGTGAGACATAAGGTGAGACATGCATAAGACAAACATAGACTCATAGACAAACAAGAGACATAATCCACAGAAGCGACGGTTCACAGTTTCACAGTCACTGGGTTCACGGGTTGTTTCACACTGTTTCAGAACTGCTGATACTGCTGGTCCGACCTGGACCGCCAACATCGCCAGCGCCACCGCTCGCTATCATCGATGTCATCATCACTGTCGTTCATCATTAGTACACTATCATCACCATCGTCATCATCACCATGGTCATCGGCATCGCCATCATCATTCTCATCGTCACCATCACCCTTGAATCAGCCTCATCACCATCATCATGCTCGTCGTCATTATCAAAGTCAACACCATCACCATCACCATCATCATCGTCACCCTCGCAGCAGTCATCATCATGATCAACATTCATGGTCTTCATAATCGTAAATTTCCAGTCGCCAACAGCATCAAATGCAGCACAACACTATCACCCTGGGCATTGAGGCATTATTGTTGTTACTGCTACACATCACCATCATCAACATCAGAAGCGGCTGCATCATAACAATATGTCCATCACCTGCCACACCATCCTGCTGTAATATTTGTTACTGATATCAAACAAAAAACATACTTCTTCTGCAGTGTGCACACGCAAGTTAGTGAGTTACTAGTAAAAAAGCTGCATACCATCAAAAAAACACTCCATGCACATGATATTCACTGTCCCACGCAGGTTGTCGTGCTGCCTTCGGCGAAGCCTGCAGCTATCTTCGACTGATCGTTGTTGCAGACATAGCGGCAAAAAAAAACGCGATTTGCTTGGGATCTGTTGTTCTCTAAGTATGGCGGGGTATACCCGTCGGTGTCGCCTTTGGCACCGGCACTTTGTACCCTGAACCTAACCCCAGAGGCCAGTGGACATGCTTACCCCAAGCACTACTTGCAACAGCAGTGAGAAAAAGGGCCCGCGAAAGACAAACAAGAACCAGACCCTCGTCTAAAGCCTAGATGTCCGAACCCTAACCCTTCTGACCTAAGACTTGAAGCCTTCTCCTGCCCTCCTCCCCTGGGCATCAAGATAGCCCAAAAGCCTCATATAATATGGTCTTTGGGCCCAAAAGCCTTATGTAACATGGTCTTTGGGCCAAAAGCCTTATGTGATATGGTCTTTGGGCCAAAAAGCCTTACTATATGAGTCCTTAGATGCCTAGGGCTCCTTCCACCTTAGATTTATGCGAATGGGAGCCCCTTACTAAAACCCTAAACTCGAAACCCTAAACCACCACGCAGGCTCCCGAGCGCCCGTCGAAAAGGCAGAAGATCTGACCTCGCGGAGCGGCCCGCGTGAGAAAAAGCGCGAAGATCCTCCTGAAATTCATAAAAAATGGCACAGGATCCCTTGTTTTAGGGTTTAGGGGTTTAGGGTTTAGGGGTGTAGGTTTCAGGGTTTAGGGTTGTAGTTTACTTTGGTATAGCATAGTTTAGTATAGCCAGTATAGCAGAGTAAGGTAGCATATAGTCTATAGTCTAGCGTAGTCTAGTATAGTATGGTATATATTACAGTCATTTGGCAAATTTATGACCATATACCATGGTATACGGTCAAATCATACGTATCTGGAGGACATTCAGGTAATATCACCTGGCTTAACTGAGGAGTTTGTAGGAACTGCATGCGGAGAAGTTTGATGGAGAGCTGTGTATCGGTGCGCTTACTGGGTCGTGCAGTGGGTCCGGAGTGCCTCGGGAGGCCACATCGATGGTTGTTTTGGCTATGGTCTCCTCAGGAATAACTTTTTCATTTTTGTTCATAAAAACCCTCGAGAACATTAAAAACAATATTTTGATCATGGTTCTAAGGGGGGGTATAGTTGGCTCTTGCGCGAGATACCAGAGTATCAGATCACCCAAGCGGCCGTTGCAAAGTAGAAAGGGCCCTGCTCGTTGTTTTCAGAGCTCTCTGTTAGCTTGAACCCTTTATTTCAATGTGGGCCTTCTGTAAACATTCAGCCGTTCGTGCCGAAGGCAGCTCGCGCATGAGAAGCTTTCCTTTTACAGTGCCACTCTATGGAAAGGGTTATCACTTTGAGCTTTGAGTTGATGCGTTCGTCCCCAGTTTGGGATCTTAATGATCTTAACTAGAGTCTCGGATGGGATTCGTGCGGAGGACTTCCTTTCTCGGCTTCAGTCCGCACCTCTGGGGGGCGCGGCCGCCCAAATTTGCCGCCTTGCATAATCACCCTTTTGTTTTTTATTGTGGGAGTTCCTCATCCAATGCAGAGTGGGAACCCCAAGCCCTCATTCTGACGCGGCTGCTGGGGAACGGAACCTAAATTGCTCCAAAGTCCTAACCTTGATTTGCCGCTTGCCTGAAGTTTTCAGGGCACCCAGCCAGCCCAAGCAGAAGCATGACTAGAAATCGAGTCGGATTTCTTAAACTTAGAGAGACCGAGTCAAACAAGACTTTGGGGATTGTCGAAATCGACACCTAGATGACCACCGCAAGCCCTGACACTCTGACATTTTGTACCCTGCGCCCATTTGCCCTTAACCTTCCAATCCGAATCCGGAAGTGTTAAGCCGGACCTACATCCTAAACCATAAACCCCTAAACCTTAAACATAAAGCCCTAAACCCTAAACCTAAACCCTAAACCCTAAACCGCTTGAGCAACGCCGTCCTGCAGCCTGTAGGCGCTGAACCAGCCCACGCCCTTGAAGCCCTTAAGTCAAATTGACCCAACAGATTCGGGCTTCGTAATGCATTGCACGCCCTGATCCCTAGAAAGGTATAGAACTCTCATTCCCTGAACACGCCTCAGCGCGATATCCCAATGCATAAACCTGAAAAAGTGAGCAGTATGCCGTGCAGTACCCACCGCATTCAAGAAATCCTTATAGTAAGCCTCACAGTAACCCTTACACTAAGCCTTATAGAGCTCTTATAGCAGCCCTCATAGTATCCCCGAGTCTTGTGGAAAACTTGAAAACTTGATCTCGCTGCCAAGCCATGGTCCCTCGATGCGGGAGGGACGACTCTCACAGCGGCCAGGCCTGTCCCAATAATTAGATACGGTTCAGGGTTTAGGGTTTGTACTCGGGTGTGGGATAGTGGTTATGTTATTAATTGTGAGAAAATATGATAAATTGGGCACTTGGACCCTTAGGGTGTAGTATCAGGGGTGTTACACCCTGACCAGCTCGTAAACTTTAAACCTTAAGCCCTCAACCCTGCACCTGATGATTTCAACCCGCAGTCCAAAGTGGGATTCAGAGTGGTCTGCAGCCAAGTACACCGTGGCTATAAGTAATGTGGCTTAAGCTATCCAGGGCTTCTTATTCCTCAAGATTCCAAGCACACAAATAGTCCCCGCATTGGTATCTAAGGTTTACAGCTGGCACCTACTTTGGGCTATTTGGAGTCGTGGGAGTTGTGAATTCAAGACGGTTGCGGGTAGAGGGTTTAGGGTCGAAGTCAAGGTGTTGGGGCTTTCGAGTTCTGGGCTGTTCTAGGGACTGTGACTTGCAATTGCGTCTCCTCATAGCGCCTATACAACACTAGCATACAATAATATACCCCAAGACCCTATTCTAATTATGAAGGCCCAGTATATCTCCAAAGATTCCAAACTGACCAACCAACTGAAACGACTCCCACCTTAAGCTTTCAAGCCTTTCAAGCCAAAACTACTTCTAGTTGAAAAGTCCGACCCTAGAGTTCCTTAAACGGGTAGGTCTTTTCGGCTACTGGTACGACTCCCTGTCAGAGCCCAAGGCACCTGCGATCTAGAGCCTCCATGGGGCAGCATATGGGTGGGTGGCTGTCAAAATTAGGGTCCCTTTCTGGGTACCCTAAATATTAGGTGTCGTACTGTATTAGGGGCCCAAATCGGGACGGTAATTTTGAGAACCACCCATATACATTGCACGGTTTAGGCTTAGGCTTTAGGTGTAGGGTTTTGACAAAAGGCACTCTTAATGTCAAGGCACCGCAGATTATGAACCCAGAGACTCCAATATCTCTAAATTAAGGAACATACCTTAGTACATAGTAGGATCCCTAATATGATTTAAGGAATGTTTTCTTCATTAAGGAATGTATTGGAGTCTCCGGGAACGTGGCGAAGGTGCCGGCTGTCGCGCAGACTGGCGAACGTTGGAGCAGGCCTGCTTACGCATCAAGAGACGGAGAAAGCAATCTAGGAGCCTAAACCCTAAACCCTAAACCCTAAACCCTAAACCCTAAACCCTAAACCCTAAACCCTAAACCCTAATAGGAGCCTTAATTATTAGAATGGGGTCGGGGGTTGAGGGTTCCTTTTAAAAGGGTCGATATAGGATCAATACAGGTGCTCAGTTTAGGGGTTTAGGATTTAGGGTTTAGGCTTTAGGGTTTAGGGTTTAGGGCTCAGTATAGGGGCGTAGATGACAAGGTTTGACAGTTTAAGGCTATGGGCTTTCAAGCAATACAGTGCCTACCCAGAGGCTCCATAGTAGTTCCTTTTTGGGGTTCATGTTTAGAATCCTATAAGGTAATCCCAAAAAGGAACTACTATGGAGCCTATGGGTAGCGCCTAAGGGTCAACGGGCTTGCTAAGCAAAATTGGCGGGATAAGTGCCATGCTCAGAGCTATAAAGAGCCTCGATCGAAATAGCCTCGAACATCGCTGCATGTAGTTTAAGAGGAATTGGGTATAAGGGTACGAGGGCGTCCTTTCTAAGTGTCTCCATGGTTTACGGTGTGCCGATTTGCGCAAGTCAGCACTTCTTGTTGAAGGTTTGGGGATTCTGGGCTTCAGGCCTGTCTTTTCTAGGATATTACAGTAGAAGCCGGAAACTTGGAATATCATTATCGTAGCCCCTTCAAGGTAAATTATAGGGGATCCTACCATTAATCCATATTCCCACTTTCCGGAGTTCCCTTTGGGGTTTAGGGTTTGTATTCGGGTTTGGCGGTCCTGCAGGCCCTTGGCTTGACTGCACTGATATCCAGAATAAGGGCTTTTGGATATTATAGGGGCTAAAGTTACCTACCAATATTATTCCTTACTATAATTATAGTATAATGGGCCCCAATGTCTTATTCTAATTATTACGGCCCCTACATTATATCAGCGTAATATTCGCCAGAAGGAGCCCTTCGGAGCAATGTTGGTAATCCTTAAGGCTCCATGCTCCCATATAGTATATACTTAGGCATTAAAGTACATATATAAGGACCCCTTCAGGGCCTAAGTATTTAGTATTTGGGTACCATGCCTTATACCTTAAACCCTATAGAAACATTGAAAGGAACCCTTAAAGGAACCCTCACGGCGGCTGCCTGTTGCTCGTGGGTGCTTTGAGGTCACCGGTGCTTCTGTGCCTTCCACAGAGGCACCTCCCATGTGCGTAACGACACTACTCGCTGCCCTGGATGTGGCTTGCAAGGAACGGAAGGTCGTGACTCAGGTCGAAAGCTTGAACTACGCCTGACGCCCTTCCCTCGCCAGATGCTTGGAGGTTCATGGGTAGTTATAAGTAGGGCTATAAGTCCCCTAATATGGTTTATAAGTATAGTTACCCTACTTATAACCCCATTTGTAACTACCCATGAACCTCCAAGTGGTCCAGAGCGAGCTGAAATGCAGGGCAGAGCGCAGGGCTCAGAGCTTCGGGGGTTTCGATGTTTCGGGGTTGGGGGCCTAGGTTTAGGGCCTTGCAGTGCTCGTGTTTCAGGCTGTAGGGCTACCTATGAAGGTACATGGAGACTTTGGTAATTGAGGGCCGACAGTCTGTTTGCTTGGAGGATGGATGAGCTTTAGGGTTCGAGGGCCTCTTCCTTATGTCTAGGGTTTAGGGCTTAGGGTCCAGGTTGCGGTTCGCCGCTCCACCGAATCCGTAGAAGCCTGACAAGATTAGGACCATCTCTTTTGTTCATCCTACGGCCGCCAGGTGCCCCAAACACTTTCCGCCTGGCTTGAGCACTACAAGGCGCGGGCTTTGTGGCGTTAAAGTGACATAGACTTTGTATGGGGTTTGTGCGCCTTGCGCCTTTCTTGTTTCGCAGAGTTCTTCAAGGTAACCTATGAGGCTCAAAATGGCCCACAAGCCCTTTACAGCAAGGTCTTTGGGCCGAAACGCCTTTAAAGTCTGAGTCCCTGGAGCCTTATGGCCAAAGCTAAACTTAGCTAAGCCCTAAACCCTAAGCCCTAAACCCCCTAGCCCTACCCGTGGACCGTACGAGGCTCTTTGTGCTTATCAACGTAATGTAGAACCCTGATTGTTACAGACTGGGAGGGTTTGGGGACTTGGAAAATAGGTAATACGTGGACTTACAAGTACCCTAAAACGGACCCTCATTGGGGTTATGGTACTCATATCACTATCAAACACCGACTTAGCAAGTTCCCCAACCCTCCAAATAAATCCCCTGTCTGTGAAGGGCTTGAATACTGGAGTTCCTTCCACAATCCGACCAAACTACATGGGTTGATTCCATTAGGCCATATTAAACTCCAAACTCCCTATATAGCATATTTTTCAGCCCTAAACCCTCCCTTAACCCCACGTAACCTACCTTTTTAAGGACTTATATAAAGAGGTCATCTTAAGGAACCCTAAAGAGGTAGGTTCCTTTGGGTCCAGGTAGACCCTAAGCTAGGTTTTTTCAGCCCCGCGGGGCCTTAGTGGACAGAGTAGACCCTATGAAACCCTAGCCCTGGGCACCAAAATAGCCCAAAAAGCCTTATATTATGGTCTTTGGGCCCAAAAGCCTTAATATATGAGTCCTTAGATGCCTAGGGTAGGAGACACGGAAAAGCGTGCAAGCAGCAGCCAATGTAGAGAACCCTTTTCAGAGCCTTGTAGCAAACCCGCACTAGCTCTAGACTCTAGACGCCTTTTATCGTGCCTTATAGGAAGCCGTATGAAGCATTTCAAGAATTCTTGACGACCTTTTTTTGAGGCGCTCTAGAACTTTAGAGCCCAAGCCCTAAACCAGAAACACCAAATTTGTCCCTAAGCCCTAACATCTAAAAAGAATCTAGAAATGCCAAAGACCTTAAAATAGAACCCCTCAACCCTCAACCCTAAACCCTAAACCCTGAACCCTGATCCCTAAACCCCAAACCCTAATCCCTAACCCTTAAACCCTAAACCCCTAAACCCTATAATCCCTAAACCCTAGTCCCTCAACCCACTTAAGGTGCGATTGCACGCGAAGAAGTTTCGGTCCACCGGTCCGGCGAAGGTGCTGCGGCGCATCGCGACTCCTGCTTGTGATGCTTTGGGTTTAGGGTTTAGTAGGGAATAGGGTTTAGGGGTTTAGGGTGTAGAGTCTTAGTAGGGTATAGGGTTTAGGGGTTTAGGGTTTAGGGTTTAGGGGTTTTGGGGTTTAGGGTTTAGGGGTTTAGGGGTTTATAGGGTTTAGAATTAAGGGCTAGGGACTTCGGGTTTTTGAGAGTTCAGGGTTTAGGGGATTGGGGTTTAGACTTTAGGGCTTGGGGCTTCGAGTTGTCAGAAGAGGGGGCCAGATTGACTAGAATAGGATTTGAAGAGGTATTATACCGTACGTTTATGGTGGAGCCTTTTCGTATCGTCGTACTTCCAATTATTCAAGCGATCATGGTAAACTGTGTGGGGTTGACGGTAAACTGTGTGGGGTTGAAGGTTTAGGGATGTGGGGTTTAAGTTCTATGGTGTCTGGGCATCTTTGCCTATAATAGTGCAGAGCCCGATTCTGTCGCAGGTGAAGTGATGAAGAACTCTGCAGAACAGCATGAACGGACATCGATGATGGGTTTCGGGTTTCGGGTTTAGGGTAGATAGTCGTGGCGACCAGCAGCGCCATCGCTGTTGTGTTTCACGGGGTCACTGTTGCGTCCGCCATACGAGCCGACGCTATAGTCCGCCAGACACACTATCATCACGGGTACTTCACAACTATGAAAGTATCGGCATTGTCATCATGATCTTCATCATCATCATCATCAACGTCGTCTTTCTTTCCAACGCAGCAAGAGAGTCCCTTGTCTAGCGATGCCATCAGCATGCTCTTTTGGCATGTCGGCCACTCGAGGTGGCAAGGCTCGATTGCCCACGTGCTGGGCGACCCTAGCATTAAACAGTTGCACCGTGGCGCCGTAGTGCAACAACAAAAGTGAGAGTACCATATGGAACGATGATTAAGCCTTCACTCGTCCATCTCTTCAAGATGGATTGGAGTTTGAAGGGTATCCTCTGTGCATTTGTTCCATCGGCTGTGGCACTCAAGCTTCTGCTCCAGCATCTGAACCCGAGAAATGAGGTTCAATATCATTCGTTGTTGCCTTTTGAGATCTTGCAGCTGCTTCTGTATGACATCCTCCTGATTCTGCAGTCGCGTGGCCACCCAGTCCAGATTGGGCTGAGTTAGTGCCAGCCTCCTGAGAGCCATGGCTGAGATCACTAGTAGCACGCACGGTTCGGTTTGAGGCTGCGCGTGCAAGCAGAAGTATGTACATGTTGCGCTGAAGATCACTTTGCGAGTTCTGAGTTAGCAGGCTCGGCGGCTTTTCATCGTCCAGTCGCCAATGATGTCGGTGTGGTACCGCTCCGGATGTCTCTACACTTTCAACCTGTATCATGGTGTAGTGTCCACTGTCTACTGAGATCCCGTGGTGCTGTATGTAACCCACAATGTTGTATGTTATCCATGAGACAGCAAGGCCGGTCTCACTGCAGTACACTGGCACCTGGAGCTGATCTGTGCAGTGATACTGATGCTTCCCTTTGCGGGGTTGCCCCTCAACAAGCACGAAGCGAGGCAATTGCAGAAACAGCCATGGTTCGGGCCTTGAGATGGCGTGCCGAGCATCCTGACTAAACCAAAAGTTGAGAAGGTCCTGAAGCTCAGGTTTGTGTCTAGGTGGTTTGATAAGTCTGATGCATTTGGTCGTGGGTCCTTCGTTCTGTACGGCTACCCCTGCCGACGTCTGATATCTGCTCTCCACCTGACCAGTGACATGCAAGGACGTGAGCTTGGGATGCAGATAGTCAATCAGCTCTGCAACATCGTGCTGTTGCTCAGGTTGCCGCCAGCCCAGGAGATGAAACCCGAAAAGGTGACGAGCCAGGACTGGCTCATTCACAGCCCCGATCACCTGTGGCAATAGGGTATTGATGCCCTTTTGATGGGACGCGTGCCAAAGTGCATAGATGAAGGAGTTAAGGTAGCAGTGGTTACCGGGGTTAAGGAGTTTAAAGGGGGGGGCATTGGTGGGTTGCTGAGGCTGGTGCACATGTGATGCCGTAGGCGGTGGATCCGCCCCCGCTGCTTGCTTCACCACTGGCTTCCTTGCCCTCGAAAGACCATGTCTCCCAGCTGCTGTGCCAACTTTGATCGTTGATTGGTTTCGCGCTTGAGGGAGATCCCAATCAGGTGCGTCATGGCATTGTTGACTAGGTCGAGGAACATCCTGTGCACGTCGTGAGATTCCTGTCCCCTGAGAGACACTTCCAAGAAGAATGTGGCGCTCTGTTGTCCGGCCTCCTCCAGCCGGTACAATGGTTGTGCCGCTCCAAACTTCTGTATTATGTCCCCCCGAAGTGCATCCTTCAGCTCTGTCAGCAGTCGCACTGCGTTGTCGTGCGACATAGGGGTGCGGCTGGGGTCCAAGACCAACTTCTTGGACTTCGTGCACCACTTTTGATATACCCAATGCTGGTCGTGGTTGATCCAGCCGATTTTGCGGAGATTCTCTCGGCTTTCCTCGGTGGCCACTACGGTCTGTAGCCGCTGCAGAAGTTCTCGGATGAGACACGATAGCAGAACAGTCTTGAGCGGAGAGGGGTTCTCCGCCTGAGCATTTTGATCTTTCTTTTCGTGCCACACCTTCGACGCTCGGTAGAGCGCCGGTAGAACACTGTGCTGGTCCTGCTTCACGAAGACGATCAGTCCTCGGTCCACCCGGAGGCTCGCCAATTGATCCTCGTGGCGAAGCATCATGCGACACACCTGTGTGATGACTTCTGGCGAAAAGCCTGAGTTTGGCCTGGTGCTTGACTGCTGAAAGGGATTCGGGTGATATGTGGGGACCGGGTGGTACGTCGGGGATTGCCGGCTCCACGGTCTCGATGGTCCTCGAGTCTGCTCCGGTCTCTGTCGCTTGTTCGGCAGCGGAGCTTCTGTGGCAGGCGGTGGGGCTTGCTGAAGCAAGGTCGGAGGTGCCCCGTTGGAAAAGCAGGCTCGGTAGATCTGCTCGGTCAGCTGAGCATCGGAATCCTCCATCCTGACAGTATGCGACTGCGAGGCCTAGTTGGAACAGTACTGCACACTGTTGACTGTGTCGGCCTGGTGCGCCGACTCTGGCGTGACAAAAGCGACAGGTGCTGTCGCGTCGCAGTTGTGCTTTGTATGGTTGACACAGCTGAAGTGCTTGTTCCCGGAGGTGTGGTTTCTCAGCATGATGTACTTTATTATAGTGTTGTTTGATGTGCTTAGTGTCAGATATCCACATACCGCAAAGCACACAGAACTGAGCCAGCTCATGTCGAATGGTTGGCTCTGCAAGATTCTGGCTCCAATTCAGCAATGTGCTATGAAACTCAGGCCGTAGTGCAAAGGGCAGCGCTGACGTAGTTTGTTTTGGACCGCGGTCCGCAGGTTGCGTCGGCTCGGGTGGCTGTGTGCCAGCACTCGACTCGGCTTGCCTAACTGAGTTCACAGGTGCAGCCGGTGCCTCAATCGGCTTGTGTGGGTACCTGACGGCAGCGTCCCCACCAAGTTTCTCACAAGCTCCAGTGGTGATATGTTCTTTGAGATTGCCCCACCTGAAGAATCTTCGGTGGCATAGGGCACACTCCGGCATGCCTGCCACAGCGTGTAGGTGTGGTATGAACTTTGTGGGAGTTCTAGTGGAGTGTGCGGGCACCTGCGCGTGCTTGAGTGCACAGTGTATACGCATAGCGTTTTCTGAGATGCTGACATGTTGGCAGTAGGGGCACTCCCATTGCTGTGCTGGATCCTCGGCTTGGTAAAGTGTGGTGGCTGGGTGCTCTGGTAGCTTGGCCAGCTTTGCAAGAAGTTCATCAATGTGGTCGAGAATATCATCTGTGTTGGTGATGTTTATCTGTTGTACACGGGATTGCCGAAGTTTGTCTTGATGTTGTTGCAGCATTCTACGTGCCAGTGTTGCGGGTGGGTCTAAACCACTGCTAGCCCAAATGGTCTTATTGGGGGTGTGGCTGAGGTGGGCAGGCTGCTTAGACAGGGCCCTAAGGTGTTTGGTGGTCTGCACATACAGCTTATGATTCCCTGTGGGTGTCATACCGACGGCAGGCACAGAGTACATGAGACTGCTGTAGATGCACGATCTCCATAGCGAGGTTCGCTGTGGAATGGTGAGGGCCTGGCGTCCATTCAAGGTGCGGCGGATATCCTGGTAGCGGAGCTGACCTGATTTGCTGCGCTTGGTCACATTTTGATCAAGTCGTCGTTGATAAGTGACTGCTGTGCCAAGGTACTCATGTTGGGCTCTCACGGGGATGCGCCGCGTGCTTCCCTGAACTTGGATCTCAAGATATGTGTCACCCTCAACAGTGGTAGTGATAGCTTCCAGGGCCTTGGCTGCCCGCTTGCCCTCCAGCCGGAGGAGAACCGCTGTTTTGCGATAGTTTACCTGGAAGTGATACTGTTCGAGGATTGTGATGATGTGTTCGATGTCACGTACAGCTTTGCGAACATCACTCACTGATTTGATCAGCCAGCTTCCCCAAAAGTCATCTGCAAAGGCAGTAAGCACTTGTTGAAGCCATTGCTCATCACGGGTTTCAATGAGTTTGAGCATGACAGAAACAGTCAGGAAACACCATAGGCTTGGGGCGATGGTGCACCCTTGCTTGATGCCTTGGGTGGTCTCTACGAATGAGCGATTGTCTCCCACGGCAAAGTGATAGTAGGCATGATGATGTAGGCTATGTATGATATCAACAGTGGTCCGGCAGACACCATGTGCAAGAAGCGTTTGGTACACTGTGGGTCGATGCACACCATCAAAAGCCCCCGAGAGGTCCAGGGAGAGAGATATACCTCCTCTGCATTCTAATCGTTTCTTCCCGATACGATGCTGGAATCGGTCTATGCGATTTTCAGCAAGGAGTTTCTCAACTTTGTTGAAGTGGCAGTGGACCCTGATGATAGCGTCCATTGTCCCCCGCAGGGGTGTGTATGCATACTGCGGAAGCTTTTGGAGAACAGGAAGCAGGTGTTCATGCACGGTGACTTTTAAGGCGCTGGCGAATGCTTTGGTGGCCGGGCTTTGTAGCCCGATTGGCCTCATGGATTCCACCCCAACTGGTTTCTTGTGAGGCTTCTGCAACCAAACTACATTAGTGTCTTTCCAGTCACCCTGAATCTTAGCTACCTTCCCGGCAGAATAGTGGCTGCACAAAGCTGGTCCAAGCAGTTCTGCTACATCTGCAGAGCATAGCCTCCACGTCGCCGCCGGGGCGATGTGCGTGGGCACCGCCTTGCGTGCGCCAGTCTTTGCAAGCTTGCTCTGGAGAAGAGCCGTGCTGAGGGAGAGGCCCTCAAGGAGCGGCTCGGTCGCTCCCGCATCCTCCAGTGAGGCAAATGCAACTTTGCTGTGCAGTACTATCGCATCAAGTTGTTGTTGCGCTGACATGGGGGTGCCTGCTGCCGAGAGCAGTCTGGAAGCACATCTGCCTGTACGGGGGCCAAGGCGTTTAACAATCTGAAAGAGGGCTCGTTGATCCCCTTTTGCATCGGCCTCACTGGCCAGGCGAATTTGCTCCTGATAGAACTGCTTCTTAAGTGTTGTGCTTTGTGCTCGCAGAGAGGCTGACGCCTTGCGGAAGAGCACTACCTGCCTCCATTGGTGAACAAGACGAGCCAGGGAACTGGGACCTGGCCGTCGCATCTCTTTGTAGAGACTCCACGTGTGCTTGGCACTGGCTCTATACTCGGCATCGGCACTCACACGATGATCTGCGGCACTGCGCGGCGGGAAGTGCTCCTGCGCTGCTTGCATAAGAACCCCGTTGATCTGATCGTGCAGCTGGACTATGTTTAGGTTGCCTGCTGGCAGGGTTGCCAGGCGCATCTGCACCGTTGTCTGCATGGCCTGAGCCGGTGCAGAGTTGTGCTGCACTGCATCTTGCAGGGCTTTGAGGTCACAAGTTGGTTGCTTCGACTTTGGGCGCTGAGGCAGCCTGCTGAAAGGCAGGAGGGTCAACTCAGCATGCAGTGGCACATGGCCGGCTTCACGATATGCACCAATGGGAAAGTTTTGCAATGGTCTGGCTTGATGTGCTTTCCCTCTGGCTTCTGTGCGTCTGCAGAGCATGAAGTCGATCTGTGTTTCGGCTTGGGGTGACTTATAAGTGAACTTAGGTCTACTGTTGAAGGTGTTTAGGGCGCACAAATCAAGGTCGACGATGAGTTGTTGTAGTTCTTTGGAGTGATTGGTGGCATCCGAAGGGGTGGAGGAACTACCTATGTGGGGGCCTCTGTGGTTTTATGGTGCTGTTCAGGTCACCAGCAATGAAGAGGTGATGCCTAGAGGGGACTTTATTGCAGTGCTGTTCCAGGGCATACCACACTTCATTCCGGAGTTTGTGATTTTCCACAGTAGAGAGGTGACTTCTCCATACATGCTGATAGACATTGAACACTGTAATCGGGCGATTAGTGTGTGTCAAGGTGGCCTGCAGTTGCAGCAGGCGCCCTGGGCAGATTTCCTTGACCGAGATGTCCTTGAAGTACCTGTCCGACGCCAGGAGAAGAACCCCACTGGATTTCTCAGGCCCTGCAGGACAGTCATGTCCGGAGCTGTGGATGCATTTCCATCGGCCGCTTCGAAAATCTGTGGTACTACGCCAATGGGTCTCTTGTATCAGGACAAGGTGGTACTGGCTAGATTCTGGACGAGTGTCAAGCCAGGCTACTAACTCTTGAAATAATCCACCCCCGAGACTGCTAGCGTTCCAACTAAGCACCCTGAGAGGTTGCACAGGCCTTGTTCGCGGCGATCGAGCAATGGTGGCCATCCTGCATGTGACAGGTTTTTGTCCTATCATGGCTTTAAGGGATTCAGTTGTATGCCATCTGCCTCGATAGTGTGTACCACCTAAGTTGGATCGCTCGGCTCTGGCTCTTGCTCTCCTGAATGCTCGTTTGTGCATGCGGTTCGGAGTGATTGGCGCTGGGTCTCCCATAGGCATACTGCCGCATGGCTTCCTCGCCGAGGCGAGTTCAGTCCCCGCTGCGACATCAGAGACAACCCTCACCCCACTAGTCTGGCCTAACAATGCGTAGGTAACCGCAATTCGCAGACTAGCCCCGGACTTGGGACCGGGTTGGCCGGACTTATGGACAGCAGATCTTCGCGATGTTCTGGGATGATTAAGGTGGATGGGTTTATGAGCTTTATGGGTGGGGGTCCAGGAAAGGTGTGAGAACTGATCCAGTCCTGCATCACGTGGCTCTTGGCAGCCAGCAGGCTTTGCGTAGGCTGCCATTGGCGGCCGGCGACAGTGACGCAGCCACGCCCTGCGTAGCCGAGTCAATAAACTCGGAGAGCCAGCAAAGGTCTCTGTTCGGTTCATCCTCGTAGGGATAACCACAGTTGATCCCAAGCTTAAGGGGGGAACGACTCACCCTGAGGATAGGGAAGCTGCCTTCATAGGCGGCCCTCCTCTCTATCCCTACATCATCTTCGCATTGTCCACAGGTATAAGTCTCGTGTCCATGGGAGTAGACCAGGGCTGATACACCATGGCGAGGGTTCGTATCCATCTCAGCCTGGCATGCCTCGTACACCATGCAGAGATAGTCGAGAGCTTCCATGCCGGACACTAGCCTTATCCGGTCGTCATCATAGATGATGACCTTCTCCTCGCCCCAGATGTCCGCCCCCTGCGTGACCCAGTGAGGCATCCTCTCTATCACCTTGGTACGGTGTGGGTGAGGTTCGGGACTATGAAGAACCAGCCTACAACCTTATGCTGTTTCTTAAGGAGAGGTGGGTGATGCTGGAAGCGCCTTGCCCGCAGAAGGCGCGCTCGCCAGGGTGCAGTCGTCTGGTGGAGCCGGCAGTGTCCCGAGTGGATCGGGTGGCCCGTTGTGTCGTCAGCCCCGACGCTCTCCTGCATGTCTGTGCCCCGTTGCATAGGCCGTGACCCAGTTCCCCCAGTTTGCAAGACGCTCATCACTGAGATATTCCGCTGCTTGTTCACGCAGCGTTTGCCAGTTGCTGGAAGCCACTGCTCGCTGAAAGCTGGCCATTCTCCGATTGTGAGCTCGCTTGCCATCATGTGGGTACTGCACTCCCAATTCAGCACGGTATAGCTCAGATAGCTTGGCTTTGGCCCGATCCAGTTCGTCGTTCTCCAGGATGAGGCTGAAGTCAGAGCTTTCGCTGATTCCATCTTGGCTTCCTGGCTCAAAAGATTTAAGGTCGTCAGACGGTGTGGAGCTGCTCTCGTCGTCACCGTCGGCGGGCCTTCTGGGATCACTGGCAGCGGAGCCTGCATAAAGCACAGGCTGTGGTGGCGGAGGGCCGTGTGGGCCGTCACCTCTGGGCCTAGGTGGGCCCCTCCAAGGAGCCCGAGAATACACATGTTGATCATCCACCACACTATCTCGTTCTTCATCTTTCGGGGTCGTCGCTTTTCTCTTTCGCTGGCCCCGATCTCCATGGCTCATTTGCGAAGACTAAGTCCTTTCCTTTGCAATTCGGGCCAAGGGGCTTCATCAACGTCGTCACTATCATCGTCATCATCACCCTCATCGTCATCGTCGTCATCCTTATCATCCTCACCATCCTCATCATCCTTCTCCTCGTCCTCCACATCATCATTATCATCATCCACAATATTCTCATCGCACCGTACGGCCAACAAAAATGCGGGTTGACGGTTTGGGTGTTCAGGATGTGGCCCCAAGAGTTCATGTAGCAGCAGTCAGCATTATATAGTATAAGATGTTGGCCTTAAGCTAGGTTCTGCAGGCCCAAAGTATTTGGTGCACATGGACCCTGAGTAGCCCAGAGCTCAGGAAACATGTGAACGACGAGAACTTGCAGCAAGTGACCGTGTGCCCTGGCTCCCTACGAGAACCAGTTTTGCTTGTCTCTCTATTTTGGACTTATCGTTTTGGATTTGAATCGGGTTAGATATTGTGTTGATCCTTTTCTGTTTTGCGGCCCCTTCAAACCGAACATTAGCAAACGCGGGCTTTGGTGCCAATCGGGGACCGAGGCACCTTGCCTACTATCTGATCTCTCTGCCACTGGAGGAGCGAAAAGCCAGTTTCGTTCTTTGCCTAGGATTGGGTTTCAGTGGCGGATTTCACGGTTTACTGGGCTTTGGAGTACCATACTTTAATACTGTTTTCTTAAGGGAACCATTATGAAGTACAAGTTTATAATTACTTTTTCTCCCTGGTTACTTAAAAGCACAGATTAGGCTTCGAAGTTTAGGGGCCTGTTTGGGGTCAGCGCGGAGCGTCTTTAGCCAACCTTGAACAACTGGGACCTAGAGTAGGCCCTTAGGGTTCAGTTCCCTTATGAGCCCCTTTAGCCCAAAAAGAGCACCCTTTTTCTTCCAAGGTTACTCGTGGGTCTAGACAATGAACGCTGAACCTCGAGCCCTAAACCGCAAGCCGCAATAAACCCTAACCTGGAAACCCTGAACCTTGAAATCTAAAGGCTAAATGCTAAACCCCATTGTCCTTGCGAGATCGTTTTGAAATTTTTCATGACAGAAGTTCTGCTTTATATTTAGGTCTCCAGGGTTTTGTCCTGAAATCCTCAATCCTAAACCTTTTTTACTCTAAATCCAACCCTAAACCCTACTCAGAATACCCTAAACCTCACCCTAGATTCGCTTTGAGGGCTTCATAATACGGAATATGCGATAGTTCCGAAAGTTTAGGGTGATTAAGGTAATGCAGGGTTTATATCATCAACCGTTGGACAAATGGAAAACTTAGGGAGAGGTCCCAAGTCTCCCTAGAACTCCGTAACTACTATTTGCTTAAGAACACCAAAAAATAAAAAATATATTCCTTATGGGTGTAATATAGGGATTTTTTTTTATTTTTTGGGGGCTTCTTAAGCAAATAGTAGGTAAAGTGCACGAAGGATCCCCTGGTACACTCTCCCCTTCAACTACCCCTCCTGAAGGGTCCTACAGCCCTAAACATACCTAAACCTGAACCCCTACACCCTAAACCCCCTAAACCCTACCTGGACCCTAAGGAACCTACCTTTTTAGGGTTCCCTAATATGATTTCTTTATATAAGTCCTTCAAAAGGTAGGTTACGTGGGGTTAAGGTAGTGATTCAGAGTTCAGGGATCCACTTTTAAAACTTTTGGAGCTGTGATTCACGGTTCGGGGCCCAGGGATGTGGGATTCCGACGGTTTAGGGGTCTAGGGTTCAGGGTTTAGGGTTCTGGGTTTAGGGTTTTGGGTTTTGGGTTTAGGGTTTAGGGTTTAGGGTTTAGGGTTTAGGGTCTAGGGTTCAGGGTTTAGGGTTCTGGGTTTAGGGTTTTGGGTTTTGGGTGGGATTCAAGAGCCACAACCCTGTTGTGAAATCATTACGCCCCCTATGTTAGCTTTCATTGAAGCCGTTCCGGATGTTGACGCAGGACACACTGGAAGAGAATCAGCCTGGGCAATCTGTCGTCCTCCTGCTGATCAGGCGGGGCTTGCATGATCTTTAGGGTTGAGCGTATGGAGTTTTGGAGTTCAGGCTCTAGGGTGTAGGGGTTACTTGGAGGATCATGGGGCTTAGTAAGTATGGTTATATTTACCTTAACTGGGGTTATAAGTAGTTATAAGTATAGTTAACCTAATAATAACCTTAGAAACTAAGTCCCATGATCCTTCAAGTAGGTTTGAGGTTAGGGTTTAGGGCCTACTTGGTTCCAAGCCCTCGAGGCTTCTTTCCTTTGGTTAGTAGGGAATGGAGGAATGGGGCACCATTATAACTACTATTACTACCAGTCTTCCATTTCCTACGAACCAAAGGTAAGGCTTGCAAAAGCTCTTTGCTTCGTTCCCGGTTTTGCGCAGGCCGTCGCCAGTGCGGCCATGGACAGGAATCTACCTAGAGGCTCATACCCTACCCCTTTTTTAGAATGCCTAGTTTTATGCTTAGGATGTGTTATCTTAAAAAGTAGGCGCCCTAAAAAAGGGGTAGGGTATGAGCCTCTAAGTTGAACGCGCCCGACGTGCGGCTTCTCACAGCCAGGGCCGCTATATTTCGCGAACCAAATCAGACTTCTTGAGCAAGGCCTGAGGGACGCAGCCTGTGTCTCCCGACATCGGTGCTACTTCAAGCCATTTCAAAAAAACTGCAGATGTGAAAAATTTGGAGTTGGTATCGAACGACTGCAGATGCGACTTCAAGGGAGAGAGGTGCCCCTCGAGGCATTTCCGAGGCACAATCAGCAAGATGGAACGCTAAGGGCCCAAGTAACTAATTATCGTATAGGCTCCCTAAATTTTGAATACTAGCCTATACCTTAACCCCACGTAACCTACCTTTTGAAGGACTTATATAAAGAAATCATATTAGGGAACCCTAAAAAGGTAGGTTCCTTAGGGTCCAGGTATAACTATTATCCCAAAACCCGAGTAGCTGATTGTTGGGTGCTTTGGACCCTTAGAAGAAGCGAGGGCCACTCTGCCCCGCTCCCGGCGGAGCGACAGGCATTGCCGGCTTAGGGTTTAGGGTTTAGGGGTTTAGGGGTTTAGGGTTTAGGGTGGGCAAGCCTGCTCCAAACTTTCATCCAAGGGTAAAAGGAGGGACCCTTAATAAGGACCCCTAGGTATATACCCTTAACATAGCTATTATATACCCATTATATAGCCCATTATAGGGCAGGGGTCCCCATTAAGGGTCCCTCCTTTTCCCCTTTTGAACTACCCATAAGAGTGTGGGCAAGCCTGCTCCAAACTTTCAGGACAGACGGTTGATGATAAAAAACCTGCATGACCCATAACAAGGAATATACCATAATACCCACAGTCTAGGGTCATTAAGGTAATGCAGGATTTATATCATCAGCCGGAGGAAGTTTGTTTGAGGAAGAGACTGCGGAGCCTGCTTGGCATGCTCCCAAACCCCAGCCTATTTGGGTTTGGGGTTTAGGGTTTAGGGTTTAGGGTTTAGGGTTTAGGGTTTAGGGTTTAGGGTTTAGGGTTTGCCGGGAAGCTAGATGTAAATGCGCCTCTCGCAGATTGGGCCCGGTACCTGTGTTGGGGATGCGAGATATCTGCACGGCTTTCCTTACTTCTGTTGCCCTGAAGCCTGGACCCTAAACCAGCTTGGCTTTCCTTATTTCTGTTACCCTACAGGCGAAATCCTCAACCCACTTACCCAGACCCCCGGGAGGATCCAGAAAGTAGATCCCCTAGTTTAGGGCCCTATACTACTAAGGGCAGTTTATAAGTACCCCCATTAAGGGATCTACTTTTTGGATCCTCCCGCGGGTCTGGGTAAGTTAAGCTCCCAAACGGGACCACAAGCTTGGCCTGACGATTCGAAGTGCATGGAGGTAGGAAGATCGCGAGGTTTGAGCCAGGGAACCTGTTGCAGTGGGTCCAAAACTACGGGACGCAGGATTTCGGGATGTGATTCAAGGTTCAGGGTTTGAGGAGCTACAGTAGAAACCAGAGAGTTGGAACATCAGTATCCTCATGCCCTTAAGGTAGAGTAGAGGGAATCCTAGCACTAATCATCCTAAGTCTATGTTCCAACTTTCTGGGGCTCACAAGAAGAGGCTCAGAGTCTACCGTCTGGGGTGTTTTGAACCGAAACGTCATTGCGCAGTCGCATTTCGGGGTGAGTTCAGGGTTCCAAGTCGGGTTAGAAGTCGGTTTCGTCTCATCAAGCGTTTAGGGTTTAGGGGTTAAAGGTTTAGGGTTCCCAACAGCCTGCTTCCTAAGTCACCCGAACTGTGTCAAAGAAGCTTCCCCGAGGCCATTCAGAGCCTTTTCCGAAAGGTTGAGGTGTTTTAAAGCTCCCAAAAACCCTACAGCCCAAGCCCCGACTACCCTACGGCCCTAAACCCTAGACCTTAAACCCTACACTCTAAACCCTGGCCCTAAACCCACACCATCCCACACCCTAACCCCCACAGCCGAACCGCAAGGAGTTTGGAGCGGCTCAGGTCCAAAGGCCCAGAGAGTCTCGGCCCATGGCGTCCCGGACGCAAGTTCTGGATGAAAGAGCGTCCAGTTCTCTCGTTACAAAACTCCCTAACAAAGGGGCCTTAATAGTTTCCAATACTATATTTTTTTTTTTTTGGGGGGGTCCTTATTTTTTAGATATAGTATAACGGGCCCCAAAACCCTATTCTAATTATTAAGGCCCTTATATTCAACTCTTGTAAGCCGTAAACCCTATAGCTCCCGGAGCACAGAGCCCTTAATTCCATCTTCCGAGGTGGTTTGAATGTGTTTATTTCGTTTTCTCACACATGCCCAGAATCGACCTTGCCCCTGTACCCACACCGCCCAGAATTATGAAGGCGCCAATTTTGGGGTAAAACCCTTGTTGTAGACCCCCTTGTTGTATCCCTTCAAAGCTCCCTCAAAAGGAACCCTATCCTAAGAGTTTGGGTTTACCGTCGCATTTTGGGGGCTTCGGGCCTTCTCTGTGTAGGTTTGGGTGTCTTAGGTCACAGAACATCTGCCTTGCCATGATAAAGTTCACATACGAGTGCGTCCGATTACTGCCAAACCTATACCCCAGCCACTATCTCTATCTCTCTCTTTCTATAGAAGCACATATGTGTATACATATATATATATATATATGTACGTATAATGAAATATATATATATATATATATATATACTTATTTATTTATATTCTTTAGAAGGATAAAAGATAGCTGTATACCACGACCTTCGACTCGAGACGATGGGGGCAGAAGGCGCGTGTGAGTGCTCGCACAGTGACAGGGTTTGCGTACCAAACTAGTAGGTACTTGGTAGATATTTGAGCCCGAAAAGGATATACTAGAGTATGGCTTGAACCCTGCTGGTTCAATCCACACATTTTCAGGCATGCATGCGAGGTGCAAGACTGGGTTCGTGAAGAGTACATGCATCGTGTTGGCCAGATTGAAGCCAGCGTGTCGCTCGTGGGGAAACAAGCACTCTTCTCGCTTGCCCACAGACATACCGCAAGGACAACCTGCTGGAGGTTGCGCCCTCCTTGTACTGCGTCCTCACTCAACTCGAGGTCGACTCGGAGGCGTGGTGCTGCATGGAAGCCTTGGCGAGGCACCCCAACCCCCAGGGCTTGGGCTTCTCCTCGGACTTCGTTGGCCCGGCCATTCACAGTTGCCCGGAGAAAGACTCAGCCGCTCAACAGCAAGCGCAAGGCTCGAAACACGACCTTTGCAGGTCTATGGAATTTGATCCGAATTGGGGTGTAGAGTTTGGGTGCTGAGGGTACTTGGTTCAGGGTATTCAAACCCAAGGTAAGCGACTTTCTAAACAATATACTGCTCAGATAGTTTGGTTTCTTTTATGGGCCCAGACGAAACTGTCGATGTAGGCAGGTCTTACCTGCGTCAAAGCTTCAAGATAAGAAGTCCCGTGCTGTCTTTCACTGTTTGGTTTCTTCCGCAACTTCCCTTCCTTCTAGAACGGCCATCCTAAACCTTGGACCCTCAAGCCCAAACCTGAAACCAAACCCCAAAACCCTACCCTACCTGACTTATTGTTCCTGTACCTAAATATCATATGCTACCCCAAAGCCTAAACTAAACCCGAAGCTTATGTACCCTAAACCCTAAACCACCTTAAAACCCTATACCTTCAGCTAATCCCAATCCAAAGATCCCCAAAGCCGCCTTTGCCTTCGATACGTGAAACCTTACTAACCTAAACCCTGACCCCTGGGAAGCACTTCATGTAGAAGCCTTATAGTAGCCCTTATAATAACCCTCAAAATCCCTGTTTACCAAAATCCTAGTCTAGTTATTAAGGCCCCTAACCCTAAACCCTACACCCCGTATAGGCCTTTCCAGAAGACGCTGGCCTCTCGGAAAAAGGAGCTAGCTCAACTCAACAAAACCTTACATACCCCCGACCCAAACCCTGAACCCTGAACCCTAAACCCTAAACCCTGAATCCTAAACCCTAAACCCTAAACCCTGAATCCCAAACCCTAAACCTTTCTGTATCCGAGAAAAAAACTCTGAACCCCAAACCCTACCTATAGTCTCCATTGTAGTTCTTTTTTGGGGTTACCTTATAGGATCCTAAGTATATATTTGGTTAAACCAAAAAAAGGAACTACAATGGAGACTATAGGTAAACCCTAAACTCCTAAACCTTGTATATCTAGGGTTTAGGGTTTATAGACCCCAACTCTGCCCAAATCAAAGATCCCCACCTGAAACCTCGAGGTTGACGGGGTTGTTGGGTGCCATTTCTGCCTACGCTCCGCCGCTTGTGCTGCATCAGCCAGGGCTCCCAAACCTTAAACCCTAAACCCTAAACCCTAAACCTTAAACCCTAAACCCTTAACCCGAGCCCGAGCCCGAGCCCTAGACCCTTAGGCGCACTAAACCCTTAAGGTCTAGGGTCCAGGGTGGTCCCTGAAAGAGTTCCACAATGGCTTCCGCAATGGGTTCATTAAAGGGTCCTTGAACGGGGTTCCGAAGACATCCACAAGGCTTCTTAAGCCTGAAAGGCAAATTCCAGTTTAAAGGTTTAGGGTGTTGGGTAGGGTGCCGGCTGTAAGGGCTTAGGGCGTAAAGTTGTTGCTATCCTTTTTTCTGAAGGTCTGAGTTCAAAGGTCTAGGGGTTTAGCAAGCTTGGTCGTTAAGAGGTTTAGAGTTCCAGATGTAGAGTCTAGAGATGAGACATCAGAGTTCAGTTTAGATATTTTTTTGTTTGCGGTTGGTCCTCTTTAACTTTGTGTTTGGTGTCCACTTGGTGGATCATGGGACGCAGTAAGTATGGCAAGTATGGTTATGGGTACCGTCATAGTGGTTATCAGCAGCTATAAGTGTGGCTACCTGAAGAAGATTAACCTCCGTTACTCAGTCCTATGATCCTTTACGTGCCATGCTCCCTAAACCCTAAACCCAAAGCCCTGAACCCTAAACCCCAAGAAAACAACCCTAAACCCTAAACAAAGCCTAAACACCCAAAAAACCCTAAGCCCTAACCCCCCCTTAAAAAACAAAAGCAAACCCTAAACCCTAAACCCTTAAACCCTAAACCCTAAACCCATAAACCCCTAAGCCCTAAACCCTAAAACCCTAAACCCTAAACCCTAAAACCCTAAACCCTAAACCCTAAGACCCTAAGTCCATGCTCAGGATGATCATGCCAGATCAAAAGCTACGCGCAGCCTTGCTTTTCGCGATGCCAAAGCACCTTTCTGGGAAGAAGGCGCGCTCCACTCATGGGATCTTAGGGTGCAAGGGTTTAGAGTTTAGGGTTTAGGGTTTAGGGTTTAGGGGATTCGAGTTTAGGGTTTAGGTGTTAGGGTTTAGAGTTGAGGGTTTAGGGATCAGGGGACATCGTCAGCAGGGTTAATTATACGTTCCTAACTGATTCAGGTCGTTTTGAAGACAAAGATGGGTTAAGTTTTAACCTTTAGCTCCAAACCATTGCAGGTTACCTTGCTAAAATCACTACTCAGCAAGTCCCATGATCCTTCAAGCAGGCCCCTACACCCTGAGGCCTCCCCCAAACTCCTAAAGCCTGTGCCCGAAATCCTAAGACCTTGGACTATCCAAAGTGCTTGTTTTGGGGTTTGGGGTTCAGGGTTCAGGGCTTGCGGGATAGCCATTAGAAGGGGTCCCCACCCTGTAATAGCGGTATAATATGAATATAATAGGGCCCTAGTATAATCCTTACAGTCACTATTACAGGGTGGGGGCGCCCCTTCTAAGATAGCCAGAACTCTCACATCTTACATCCCAAACTCGAGACGACCTTGGGAAAGAAGTCGGGAGCACTCAGCCCCCGAGGCATCATGCGGTTGATGATATAAGTTCCTAGAGTTCCTTTAAAGGGATCTATAAGGGTACCTTTAAGGGTTCCTTGAGGGTTTTAGGGTTTAGGGTCTAGGTTGATGATATAAACCCTGCATTACCTTAAGGACCCGAAACTATGGGAATCATGTTATATTCCTTATTATGGGTAATGCACTTTTCATCATCAACCGTGGTTCCCCCGTAGTCAGAACTCCAGTCCTTCCTGCATCGTCGAGAAGCTCAGTTTAGGGATCAGGATCTAGGGTTTACGGGTTAGGGGTTTAGATATCCAGAACCTTCAGATTTCAAGGGGCCCAGAGGACATGGAATCTGTGACGATGCTAAATTGAAACCACTTTCGCATTCTTGAAGTCATGCCGCACCATCAAGGTAGGACCTCATCTCGATTTGTCCTTTGTCCTTGCAAGGAGTACCTGGACCCTAAGGAACCTACTTTTTTTTAGGGTTCCCGAATATGATTTCTTTATATAAGTCCTTAAGTTTAAGAAGGAAGGTTACGTGGGGTTAAGGTAATCGTATTACAGTTAGCTGAGAATTCTGTTGGGCCACCTGTTGTGGTCCAGGAATGGGCTCTTTGGGCGAGGCCTATTGCTCCAAAAAGGCAGTGCATATGACCAGCGCTCCGACAACAGCCGCTCCTTTGTGTTAGGAGATTAGCAAAGATGCCTGGATCTTAGTAGCTGAGTGGATACACTTTACACTCTTTGGGATAATATTACGCACTATAAAACTAACAGTGTACACTTGTTGGGGCTTATGAACTCAGCAACTAAAGGATGACCACTAACGTCTCCCTGCTTCTTTCCATCCCCTCATCGTGCTCAATTTCTTGAGGCCTCGGCCCTCTAGGATTTGGGACTCAGGGATACTTGGAGGATCATGGGACTTAGTAAGCATGGTTACAAGTACCCTAATTGGAGTTATAAGCAGTTATAAGTATAGTTACCTTAATAGGAACCTTAATTACTAAGTCCCATGATCCTTTAAGTAGATTCATGAGGTGCAGCTTCAGCTGGAGAAGGCGATCAAGACTTGGAAGGCACTTGGCTGACATTCCGTCAATGGATAGTAGTCGAGTAGGTAACCTTTAACTCTTTTTGGGTAGTATAGCCCCTATATAATCCCTACATAACCAAAAAGGTTAACCTTCAGTTCCCCATGATACCGACAAGTAAGAATGGACCAGGAGATTGCGGAGGGCGGTTGTCGAACGGCCTTCAGTGTTTTCTATAGGGGGTTTCCGAAAATAGGGGACCCTAATATACTACCCTAAATATATAGTACGATCCTGATAATAAGGACCCAAAAATAAGGTACCCCGAATTGTCGCAAACTGCCATAGGGTTGATGGTGCAGATGTTACGCAGGGCTTTCACCCTGCCGGACTCCTAACTAAACAGGGGGTAGGATGGTCTTTCTGTGTTAGGGTTCACCATTTCCTAGACCCCCCCAACTACCCTCTAATATGTCCCAAATACCCACTTTTAAGGGCCATTAGGCCTCTATTAAACGTCCCTTGGGGGGGTTCTGGTTGGGTCTTTGGTTTGCATTGTCCTTTGGCTTGGCTGAGCTTCAGGGTTGCAATCAAGGTTCGCGGGCTTTCAGAGTTCGAATTTTCTGGCTCACTGGTCATGACCTCAAAGCCCTGAACACAAAGCTCAAAACTAAACCTGAGGCCCCCCCCAACCCTAGATGCTGCACCTATGCCCCTCTCAATCCCCGTCTTCTGAGTCAGGGCTTCCTTCGGTTCAGGGCTCTCTGGCCAGAGCCAGAGCATTCTTTTCTGCCCAGAAGGCATCGGAGTGTTTGGGGATACGTGTTTAAGTAGTTCGGCACACCCCAAACCCCAAACCCTTAAACCCTCAACCTTGAAACCCTAACCCCTAAACCCCAAACCCCAAACCTCAACCATACATCCTAACAGCCCTCCATCATGGCTTCTGGGGTGCAAAACAAGGTCCGAACTTATTGTGCAGAACCCATTTGGGTGGTTGTCAAAATTATGGTCCCTTTTTGGGTCCCTAATATAATGCGGCACCTAATATTTAGGGTGCCCAAAAGGGGACCCCTAATTTTGACAACTAGCCATTCATGCAGTCTACACAGTTCAGGGTTTCGGGCTTAGGGGTTCAGGGTTTGGGGTTTAGGGTCTCCTGAAAGCAGCAAGTTGGAAGCCACATTTCAAAACTATCGACCAAAAGCTGTAAGCCACATCAATTCCATCAGCTGTCCATTCCCAACTGTTGCACCATCGGATCAATGCGAACGTCAGAACACTGTCCTCCCCAAATAGCCTACCTGAGTTCAAGACTTCTCAGACAAGGAAACCATAATAAAGAGCCCTCGAACGGTAGGCCATTTAGGACAATTAGGGTTCATGTAACCCTCAGACCTTAAATAAAGCCCAAACTCGAAATGGGAGTTTCCGAAAATTAGGGGGTACCCTTTTTTGGGGTGTCCTTACAATAAGGATCCTAGCTATTTAGGGTACTATATTAGGGTCCCCTATTTTCGGAAACTCAAAAATCCCCAAGCCCCAAACCCCATACCCGGTCTACAGAGCCTCTACCTTCAGGACGAAATGGACCCTAAAAGGGTTTAAGGTTCATATACCATATAGGGAATCATAGTATATGGGTATAGGGCCCCTACTTTTAAGGGTCATTTCGCCCTTCAGGTAGGACCTAGAGTAGGCCCTTATTCCCTTTTTCTAGGGCTCAGGTTCCCTTAAAAGCTTCCCTTTTTCTTCCTAGGTTACTCTTGGATCTCGGCCTTAGGGTTTAGGATCTTTATATCCCAAACCCTAAACTGTAAGACTTGCACCTTAAGGGTTTGTTTGGGGTTTAGGGTATGGGGCTTAGTGTTTAGGAATTAGGGGCATAAGCCCTAAACCCTAAACCCCAAATCCCTAAACCCTAAGCCCTAACACTTGTGCCTTAAGCTCTAAACCCAGTGAGAGTCTGCATGTCTGCGGCATACGAGGTCGATCTCGCAGCGAGCGAGCATGAGTCAGAGGTCGCAAAGCTCGAGGAGGACCTTTCAAGGGAAGAGGGTCTTAACGTTTCGGATTTGAGGTTTAGGATTTTTGGATATAGGGTTAAGGATTTTAGGGTTTAGGGCTTAGGATCTAAGTTAGACTTCGGTGTTTAGTTTGATGTTCGGGGCTTGTGGGGTTGGAGGATCAGAGTCTAGCAAGGTCTCAGATCGACTCCCAAAGGCTCTATGTACCCATGTACCTAGAGGCTCATACCCTACCCCTTTTTTGGGGCGCCTACTTTTTAAGATAATAGATCCTAACCATAAAACTAGGTATCCTAAAAAAGGGGTGGGGTATGAGCCTCCAGGTAGTATGTACTGAGGCCTTAAAGTATCTATATAGGGATCCCTTTAAGGCTTGAGTATCTACCATACCGGTACATGGAGCCTTTGGGAATCAGGGCTGCCTGTTCTGTACAGGCTCTAGAGGTGTTGGATTTCCTAGGTTCCTGAGTAGCACCCTTTAGGGTTAAGGGTTGGGTGTAGGGTTTAGGGGTTTAGGGTTTTGGTTTAGGGCTTTGCACTGTTTCTACGGTCCCCTGATTAAAACCCAATAAGGGGCTACTCAGGAACCTCCGTGTCCCTTTAAGTCATAAACCCCAAGCGAGCCATACACCCCTAGGGTTTACCTAAAGGATCATGGGACTTAGTAACTGGGGTTATAACAAGGTAACCATACTCATAATGACTTATAACCTTAATTAATGTACTTATAATCTTACTTACTAAGTCTCATGATCCTTCAAATTGGGTTTTATGGTCATCGCAGCCAAGGCATCGCGCGTTCCGATTCACATACTCTTCTCGGCAGCGTTTGGAGCCTCCACAGCCCACCAACACTCTAGCGGCAAACTTCGCGTGTGGCGGCCTTGTCAGGTCGTGTACCTAGGTCGGCCTTTGGGACACTTTATATTTTCCCTTATAAGTTGGGCTTAATAGGACCCTATTTACGAATATTTTTCAGAGGCTTTAGAAGGCCAACCTAGGTACCCTTTCGGCATAAACGTGGTTGCACTGCCGAAGGCTTACCTGGCTTACCTATAGTCTCCATTGTAGTTCCTTTTGGGGTTACCTTATAGGATCCTAACTATATATGTGGTTAACCCAAAAAAAGGAACTACAATGGAGACTATAGGTAGCATTTTCGGTTAAAGCTCTTGGGCAGCCACTTGAGGGTTGTAATTTACCAGCCTCCGCACCGATTGGGAAGATGTGGGCTACAGTGCTACACGCTCCTGCGTGCCTGCTCATATACCTATTGCGAGCAAACTGGCACAATTGGACAGCCCTAAACCCTAAACCCTAAACCCTAAACCCTAAACCCTAAACCCTAAACCCTAAACCCAAAACCCTAAACATCCCCCCCAACAAGAGTGCGAACCTCGAAGGACTCCTCCTTAGGGTTTGGGTCTGTGGCGGCAGGGGTTAGGTGTGTCGCCCCGAAGGCCACAAACCCCACCCCCAGAGCCTTGAACCCGAAGCCTATTAAGCCCAAAGGCCCTATACCAGAAACCCAGAATTCCCTAAACTCTACCTTAACCCTACGTAACCTACCTTTTTAAGGACTTATATAGAGAAATCATATTAAGGAACCCTAAAAAGGTAGGTTCCTTAGGGTCCAGGTAAACCCTAAACCGTTTTGAGGGCCTCCTCAGACCTCAGGCTTGGAGAAAAGGAGCTCAAGAAACAGAAATAGCCGGGTTGAGGGGTTTAAGGCTTAAGGTTTTGGGTTTGAGGTTTAGGGTTTAGGGTTTAGGGTTTGAGGTTTAGGGTTTAGGGTTTAGGGTTTGAGGTTTAAGGTTTAGGGTTTGAGGTTTAGGGTTTTGGGTTTAGGGTTTGAGGCTTAGGGTTTAGGGCTTAAGGTTTTGGGTTTGAGGAGTGTGGTCTTGGAAGGAGCTCTCCTCTTTGGAATGCAGACCCCGGTGCCTTGCCGAAATGGTTGTTTTGGTTTGGGGTTTAGGTTTTAAGGGTTTCGGGTTTAGGGTTTTGGGGTTTAGGATTTAGGGTTTAGGATTTAGGGCTTGGGGGTTTAGGGGTTAAGGGTTCAGGGTTAGGCGTTTATATAGGGGTTTAGGGGTTTAGGGTTTAGGGCTTTAGGGGAAGGGCCGTCGACAGGCACGTGGGAGAGGATCATGCCTGATGAGCTGGTTCATGCTTACCTTCATGCTGTGGCCCGGGACGCTCGAGACTCCACTGTCCCACCAGCTGTCATGAAGCAATGGAGGAAGCATCTGCTCTCGTGCCCTCTCAAAATCGTGTTTGCAGTCGGCGACGAAGTTCTTTGGAGATCGCTCAAATGGAGAGAGGACAGCAAGCAGAATGCGTTGGCCGTTTGGGGGTTTAGGGTTCAGGGTTTAGGGGTTTAGGGGTTTAGGGTTTAGGGGTTTTGGATTTAGGGTTTAGGGGTTTAGGGGGTTTAGGGATTTTGGATTTAGCGGTTTAGGGTTTAGGGGTTTAGGGTTTAGGGGTTTAGGGTGTAGACTAGCGCTCTTTTGGCGGTTTCTGCAAAGGGTTCCATAAGGGTTCTTTCATATACTACCTATAGTCTCCATTGTAGTTCCTTTTGGGGTTGTCTAGCGTTTAGGATCCTAAATATGAATTGGCTAAATTAAAAACGAATTACGACGGAGGCTTTAGGTAAGTTCGAAGATTGGAGCTGACTTTCTCAAAACCTTAGCCGGCCAGCTACAATTGGAGGTCTGAGTAATTAGTAGTATGTTCCCCGCTGTAGTCGTGAAACAACTGCGCTATACTACAGCCCTTTGTCCAGTCCCAGTATTCATTATGGAAGAACTTAAGGAACCCTAAACCCTCAAGCGTTGTCCTTGAACCATAGCCAAACAACTTTGAGAACATGCTTGGCGTCGGTTCTGAAGGAGAGAGAAGTCATTGGGCTTGGATCCTTTTAATCTTAGGGGCTGAGTAGGTCAGCTTTAACCTTTTGGATCTTATCTATTCCTAACTTAACAGGTTGACCAGGTTGCTTCGAAGCATTGTTGAATTGCCTCACATCCGAAGTGTTCAGTGAGACCCGGACGCCCACATCCGAAAAGCTGCACTGAACACTAAAGCCCGAAGCGCTGGTGCCTAGTCCAACGCCACGCGAAATCCCTGAAGCCCTGGGCCAAACTCCGCAAGAAACTGAAACCCTGAACCAGCTAAGCTCTAGCTGCACCCTACAGACCCGCTTTTCTCAGAGTACACAAACGCATGGCTTCAATGATCCTACCTTAAGGGTCGATGTATTCATTTAGTATATACTTCGGCCCTATATAGCTACTTTAGGCCCAGAATATGTACTGTATGGGTACCTACTCCCAGGAAGATCTTTCGGAATGTGGTGGCAGCGCTGGCGCCGCCTGAAGTGCCCGGAGAGGCCAGCTAAGGGGTCTTGCGTGTAGTGTTTAGGGGTTGGGGGTTTGGTAACATGGGCTTCATCTGTTTCGGCGGTTGGGGAAGCGAGGGGGAGGGAAGCGCTTACAGCAAGTGCCTTGTTTTCTATCTCATTCTCCTTAGCAGCACAATGCGTCCTGCTTCGATTCCAGCTTTTGGGGGTTTACTCCAGGGTTGTGTTGCATTTGTCCGCATGGTTCGTGAACTAGCATCAAGAACGAGTGCTATCATTTCTTTCTTTCCGTTCCCCAAATCACTGCCATAGAATGCAGTCGAAATCCTCTTCGAGCCATTTTTGCTAAACCCCTTGGGCGTAGGCTTCAGTATGAGCTTCAATCCCATCGAGTGACAGCATGAATTTGCCATCGTTGGGTGGAGGGCACAAGGGCCAGAGAGTAACAGGATGAATCCAGAGAACGCAAGGATGTGGCCGTAGTCGTGGTAATGGTGGTGGTAGCAGTGGTACGAGTCGTGTGGTAAATGTGGTGGTATCAGCAGCAGCAGCCGCAGCCCCAAGTAGAAGTAGTAGTTGTCTAGTAGAAATGGCGGCAGCAGCAGCAGCAGTTGTAGTAGTCATCGTCAACGTCGTCGAGGTAGTGTTCTTCGTCGAAGCAGTGGGGTATCCATATCCGGTAGTAGGTAGCAGTAAACAGCTAATCGGACAAACAGAGTGGACATCGCAACACATGGTGTCAAGCCCTCACCCCTCACCCCTCTCAGACTTTTCAGAATTAAACATAACCCTAAACCCTAAACCCCTAAACCCTAAACCCTAAACCCTACACCCCAAACCCAAAGCCCTAAACCCCTAAAGCCACAAGATTCCGAAAGCCTTGCATAGGCTAACCTTGCACCTCTGCAGCTCCTTGCATAGGAGGCCAAAAGGGGTTTTAGCCTATGGCGGTTTAGTAGGGATTAGGGTTCCCATAATAGGGTTCATATTCAGGAATCCCTACCCCAAGAATCTTAAGTCCCTCTTTTTGGCCTCCCATCAATCATTCCCCAAGGCTCCATGTACCCATATAGTAGATACTTAGGTCTTAAAGTACCTATATAGGGACCCCGTTTAAGGCTTAAGTAGCTACTTAGCCTCCCATCATCCTTGGTGCAGGAGAAGCCACTTAGTCCAGATACTCGAGGCGGGAATTTCTGCATCTGGGCAGGCACAGCTGACCGTCAACAAATATTCCGCCCGTTTTCGACGAGCTTCCAAGGCAAGTTGAGTGGAACGGTGCTTCAGAAAGATAACCCATGCTGATGATGTCAAAGCCCTGAGAATTTTCAGGGGCTGATAGGTTTCTGAATCGTATAAACCCTACGCCCTAAAAGCCCTAAACCCTCAACCGTCGTGAACCGTTGAGGTCACATCCCAAAACTGTAGGGTCTACCACCACAAGGTCACAAGGGCTTATGGTGTAGGGTTCAGGGTTCTATAAGGAGTCTAAGTATAGACGGATCTATAGGGCTTTAGGGTCTAATAGGTTCCTGAGTAGTGCCCTTATATTAATTAAGTAGGGCTCCTCGTTAAACCGAATAGTCGGAAGATTGGTATCCTCATTATAAAGCGGCTACTCAGGAACCTAGACCGGGCGAGAAAGAGCCCTTCTGGAAGCCGTGCAAAATCATGAGGGCCCTGTAGAATGCATTAGGGTTTAGGGTTTAGGGTTTAGGCATTGCGTAAGCCCGTAGAATCCGCAAAAGCCTGGAGAAACCGCAATCCTAGACCCTGCGAAGGCCTTCAGCGCCGAATTCGACGGCTGGCCTTGCAGTGCCTGAACCTGCTGGATCCACGGGATCCAAGGACCCGCTACTCGTAAGGCTGTCTCAGGGGTTTAGGGTTGGTGGTCCGGCGTTCTGGGTTTGGATCTTAGGTTGTTAGGCTTCATGTCTTTATGGCTTCGCTGTATATGCCCTTCCATTTTGGGGTCTCTGTCTTAATGTTGAAAAGTATGAGACGGGGCACACTGAATTAGGGGTTTGGGCATTTAAGGTTTCGGGTTCAGGTGGATTACTGGAGAAGCTTGTATGAAGGACAGGTAACACTGAACTACTGTCGCTACCACAGTCCGGCTGCTTGCAGTTCTTGTATAGCATAGTACTGCCCTAAACCCTAAACCCTAAACCCTAAACCCCAAACCCGAAACCCGTATGAGCTTTTTGCCCGAAGTCCCAGACCCGAAATCCGAAACCCCGACCCTAAACCCCTGAACCCTAAACCCTGAACCCTGAAACCCGGTCCTTAAGGTAATGCAGGATTTATATCCTAAGCCCTAAACCCCCTATAGATCCCTTAAAGGAACCTAAACCCTAACCCCTGAACATGCCCGCCGAAAGCACGAACCTGAGCCAAAAGCCCTGCAGGCCCCAAAAACCAGCTCCCAAGCCCGAACCCCCTCGGTTTCGGGTTTAGGGTGTAGGATTGAGGGGTTTAGGGGTTAATGGTTTAGGGTTTAGGGGTTGAGAGTTTCGGGTTTAGAGTTTATCGCTTAGGGGTTTAAGGGTTTAGAGTTTCGGGTTTAGGGCTTCAGGGGTTTAGAGTTTAGGGTTTAGCCTCGTACCATGGAGACTTTGGGGGGTCTCAGGGCTTCAGAGTTAGGCGGTTCGAGAGTTTTTGCAGTGGTTTCTTTAGGGGTAAGTCGGGTGAGGTTTGAGCGCTCGAATAGGGAAGGGTCACGGGCCAAGGGTAGAGGCTTGTGCAGGGCTGGAAGTTTCGACGCGGGTTTTTTTAGCTGTCCTGGTATGAAGTAGCAGTGCTGGTTTACAAAAAACTAATTAAGCTCCTGAACCCTGAACCCAAACCCGAAGCCCAAACCGTAGACTTGAACTCTAAGCCCTAAACCCGAAACCTTAAACCCGAACTCAAATTTTCAGAGTTCGTGGGGCCTAGTTGCGAGTTCTGCCCTAAGCCCTCAGCGCGGAGACCTGGACGCAGAAGCCTCAAACTTTCACGTAGGTTTATGGTTTAGGGGTTTAGGGTTCAAGGCAAAGGGCTTCTGAGGACCTGAATCTTACTGATATGGTTTAGGGTTTAGGGGTATATTATCGTTTAGGGTTCCTTCATGTAATTCACTTATTTTTTATTATCATCTATCCCAAGGTCGTATCTAGTTATTACGGGCCCCATATTCAGATTGGCTCGACTGTAAAAGGGGCCCCTACGAAGGTTTAGCAGGGTTTCGGAAGGTGTTCGTAGGAACTTGCAGAGTTTACTACAGTGCCTACATCGTATAGAAGTCGGCCTGGCAGGGGTTCCTATATAAGTATTTTAAAACTGTACAAGTATAATAACAGCCGAATTATTTGAGGTGTAGACTGTGGAGCTTCAATTTTAGCCTGTCTTTAGGGCTTGGGGTTTCTAGAGGCTGTTGCCGCACACCACTCTCGATGCTGAGGCCTTTAAACACTTGGCTCTTGTGGTTGTTTTCAGGACACGTTTGCAACTGTACTGTGTCGTGCAGCCCGGAGACCTTAACCCCAAAACCCCTAGCCCGCTAACCCCGAAACCCTCAACCCTTACCCCTTAAATCTTAACCTCTAAACCGCCAAACCCTGAACCCTAAAGCGTCAGGGGATCAGTCCATGGAGTGTTCACAAGGGGTCCTCCCAGCGACTTGTTGCTGCTTTCGCTAGGAGATATCTCGAGATCACGAAGGATAGGTAGACGCAGCCTTAGGTAGACGCAGCCTTTGTTGGCGGTATATTATATAGTATTCGATAGTTTACGTATATACTATATACACAAGATGTGACATTGAAAAAGGGCGGGTGCAAGATTTCCACATTTGCAGCTTCTTCCTCCTTGCTTGGTGTTCAATATGCGATGGTATGTACGCAGGCTGGGCCCAGATGTCTAGCCAGGGTAGTCAAAAAGTCAACGCCTGACCCCATTCTGTCATGACGCGACCAGCGACGTTTGCCGTTCTCAGCCTGAGCCTCATTGCTCCAGCTTTTGTGGAAGCCGTCCAATGTTGCCTTGAAAGTGTCACAATCACCACCCGCGACTACGTTGCAAATGGTTACCATCATGAGAGCATCACCAACTTTTACGCAGCAGAGGTGGTCAACTGCACTGGCAGAGTTTGCAACTCAGAGAGTTCGTGCTCTCCGCCCAACATCAACGACGGCATGGGGTTCACTATCTATCCAGATCATGGGACCCAAGTTGTACCATATGATCACACATGTTGGACAAAGAGCCTCATGTGCAAAACGCTGATAGGTCGGCGTTGCGCAACGTCTTCGAATGATTACGATCCCAGAGTACGATCAGAGGCGACCAACTCGAGCAACCTCACTTTGTTCCCGTGAGTGAGAACGCCAGGCGTTGATCACAGGCTTCTCGATCTCTGCTAGTCAGTAGTGCCAGATTGTTGCCTTGGGGCTCCAATACTCGACAGACCACAGCATTAAAAGTATCATCATTGTAGTTGTTCGTATTCATGACTGTTTGCATTGTGATCTATGACTGCCAACATGATTACATTACATGTTCCATTGCTGTTGCTTTTATAGTGTGTTACTAAGATACTTATGGGTGTGCCTCCTTGAGTTAGTTTTGTTTGATTATGAACCATTTAGTGTTCACCTGGGCAATCTCCACTCATTTGGAGCTTTGGGGCACGTAGGTAGGAAATGCTGGAAGATCCCGCCAAGAGTGCGCATGGGCGAAAACAGCCCTTCGCATCCAGAAAGTGCGGGGAAGACAGCATGACACAAGCTGCTGCAGGAAGATCCAAAAGGAAGACGACTTCATGGGTTTAGAGCTTACCTTGGCCCTTGCCATCTACTCTTCTCTACCCCTAAACCCGAAGCCCTAAACCAGTATTTCTTCCCAAAGGGTCCTATGTACTGTTATGGGGGGATACTTCCCGAAGTCATAATAGTAATTCCTAATCCCTAAGGGTCCATGTACTCATATAGTAGATACTTTGGCCTTAAAGTACTCCCTATATAGGTACATTGGGCCCAAAGTATATGCTATATGGGTACATGGACCCTTAGGGAATATGGAAACCCTACATTCTACTTTCGACCCTAAAGGGTACTTTCGACCCTTTGGGTTATAACCCGGCTACCCCTGGGTTTAGGGTTTAGGGTTTGGAGTTTAGGGTTTAGGGTTTGGAGTTTAGGGTTTAGGGTTGGGTTATAACCCGGCTACCCCCAAACCCTACCTTAACCCTGAAGAACCTACCTTTTTAAGGACTTATAAAAGGAAATGATAATAGCGAACCCTAAAAAGGTAGGTTCTTCAGGTTTAAGGTAAGCCCTAAAGCCTCGGTTCTGGTAACCCGGCTACCTCTAAATCCGAGACTCTCAGTCCACACAGGTACCCAGACCGGGAGGAGCCAAAAAGTAGATCCCTTAATGGGGGTTCCTATAAAAGTACCCTTCGTAGTATACTGGGCTTTGGAGTACCATACTTTAGTACTTTTTTAAGGTACCATCATGAAAATAAATCCTAAACCCTAAACCCTAAATGGCTACGGCTCAAGATGTCGGCCCGAAAACATATCTCTTCTGAAGTTCCCGTAGCTCCTGTGTCTGCCCTGTCAGCCTTGCTTGGGTCATGTCGACGGGGGTGATCACTGTGCCGAGCCCCACCGAAGTGGCTTCGCCTTCCGACATGGAGGCAGATCCTGAACTTCCAGGGGGTGATGTACGAGAGGAAGGTGACCAGGACATGACCACGCAGATTGAAGAGGGGGCGGCTGGTGTGGGGCCCATCGATGATGGTCGCACAGGTCATGCGTGTGAAGAGCGGAGAATGAGAAAGCGAGAACGTGCTCGTCGCATTGTGAAGGAAGAAGAGGAGGAGAAGGCTGATGAGGATGAAAGCCCTTCGAAGCGAGCCAATGGAGATGGGGGAGACGTTCCTTTGTCAGGCCGTGAGCTTCGCTATCTTCTCAATCAGCACATGTGTGAATTTCGCCAGGCTTGGTCTGGGATCACAGGGAGACTTGAGCGGGTGGAGAATGTTGCTGATCAACTACCATCTTTCCAAGGGCGACTTCAGGTGGTTGAAAAGGATAACGTTCTGCAACAAAAGCAACTTCATTCGCACGAGGAGAAGATCAAGGGCCTTGAGAATGACCTGGCAACGATTAAGCAGAATATCAACGAGATCAAAACTGGTCCTGCGCCTTCGGGACAAGATCGAGACGTGTGGGCGAAACAAGGAAATGACCCATGGTCCAAGTATCTCAATAGCCGTGGTCGGGTCAACTCAGATGGGGCTGGAGGATCGGATCCTGCAGTACATCGTCGAAGTGGGGGTGACGATCAGGGACATGGACGTCAACGAGAAAGTGGGCGAGACTTTTCTTCTAAAGGCGATGAAGAACTTAGTGAACAAGAAAAGAGGACCATCATTATTGGAGGGTGGGGTCAAGACACCAGGAAAAGTGTCATCGAGGAGGAGGCCTCGGAGCTACTCGCCAAGGATGGGGTGAAAAACTTCCTCGACTGTGACAAGATCACGGTGTTTGGCCCGCGCAAATCGTTTGGGGTGATCCGCTTTGCTGAGCGCGCTGGGGAGAACTACACCATGCTGAAGGAAAGGATGTGGGGAGTAATCAAGTTCATCGCGGCTTTGAAGCACAAATGGCCAAGCGCTGGTGTCGAGGCCAAGCCAGCATGGGCGTCCTTCATGAAGACACGTGGGGCGAGACAAAGGACAGCACACGCCTCCATGCTTCGCAGAGTTGCTATGCAACTCGCCGGGGAGAACAAAGATGAGAACGGGGCACCGCGTCAGCCGCTATGCTTGGTGTCAGAGAACTTCGATGTTGATTGGAACGCAGG